TCAAGGAAATTGTCTTTGTGCCTCTTAGGACAATGACTACTTTGTTTTGCCAGTCAGTAGGTGGGCAATCTTGGGCACATAGCTTAATCATCTTGGAGTTTGATTCTTCTGTAAAATGGGGATGGATTCACTCCTCCAAAAGGCTGAGTAGCTTCTGGCTAAAAGCACATAGTCTATCAGGTTCAAGTCCCACTTCTGCTACTTACAAACTATGTGATATTTAATGATTCACTTTGCCTTTCCCTCAATTTCTATTTTTAGAATGAGATGAGAACAATACTGACCTCTTAGAGTTGCTCTGAAGAGCAAATGAGATAAAATATTGCGGGCACTTAAAATACCACCTGAGTCATGATAAATACTGTTTCAAAAAGATGCTAATTATTCTTCTCATAATGCTTTTGTGTATATGGAAGCATAGGAACTAGTGGAAGATAACCTATGGAAATTACTATGAAAAATAATAAGTCTATTTATGGATAAGTTTGTTTCAGTTTCCAAATTGGTAGCCACAAAGTTTCTGAGTTCTTTCAACCTTCATCTACTCTTACCCCACATCTCTTCCTCATGAAGGAGCAAAATTAGATTTTCTACAACTAAAGTGGCATTTCTTAAGATTTACATAATGTAAAATTCACCATCTTAACCATTTCAAAGTGTATTGTTCAGCGGTTTTCGGTATATTCACACAATTGTGCAACAATCACCATTATCTGTTCCATAAAGTTTTCATCACTCCAAAAGGTAAGTCTTAGCCATCACTGTCCATTTCCCCTTCGCCCCAGCCCCTGGCAACCAGAAATCTACCTTTTGTTTCTATAGATTTGCCTATTCTGGACATTTTGCATAAATGGGATCACACAATATGTGCTCTTTTGTGTCTGGCTTCAACTTAGCATAATACTTTGAAGGTTTATGTTGTAGCGTGTACATTCCTTTTATGGTCAATTATTTCATTATATGGATATACCACATTTTGTTGATCGATGGACATTGGATTGTTTCCATGTTTTGGCTATTATGAGTGATGCTGCTATGAACATCTGTGTGCAAATTTTTGTGTGAACATATGTTTTCTGTTCTCTTGAGTATATGTCTAGGAATGGAACTGTGAAGTTGTATGGTGACTGTTTAACATTTTGAAGAGCTGCCAGGCTGTTTCCCACAGCAGCCACACCGTTTTACATTTCCACCAGCAATGAATGAGGGTTCCAGTTCTTCCACCATTGCCATATATTTTTGAGTCAAAAATAGCTTTCCAGCACTTGGCCCAGCATCTTACATCTGAAGCTGAATTACAGAGATAGACAGGTTTCATTGTAAAGTCCTGTCCAGCATTCTGGCAAAGGCAGTGCTTCATTCTAGAATGAAATGGCCATTTACAAAGTACCAAGTTGCAAAGGGCTCAGTGGGAGACTCCTTGGCCTTTGACGAATTTTTGCCTAAGGGATCCTGCTGTGGTGGGTAGCTTCAGGGCAGCTGACGCCAGCCCCAGTCCATCACTCGGGGCTGGCTGCCTTGTACGGCTTCAACCAATGCTAATTTCAGTCCTTTGGGGGCCCCACACGAGCTATTTTAGAGGTAAATTTGGCTCCTGAGATTGTTAAAACCTGTATGTCTCTAAAGAGTAAGTAAAAAGGAATTCAAGGAAATGTAAAACACGCTTTAATATCTCATACCTGACTCTACTGAGGAATGTTAAAGGAATTTCCCATTTGGGACTTTCAGCTGAAGCCCCATTTCTGTTGCTCTTTTATTACATATTTTCTTCATTTGTAATTTATATAGGTTTCTATTTGCAATTCAAATGGAATCTTTAATGAGGATATGGAGTAAAACGATGTGATAATGAAAACAATGTGCATTTCAAGTATAAGTGCCATATATTCTTGAAAAAACTTTTAGTTTCTGCAAGGTCATCTTTGTGTTTCTTCTGCTTTATCAGCCTTAATGGTAATCTTTAAATGTTTCCAAACATGGGAAGTCCCAACAGTGGTCTTTTTTTCTTCTTTTCTTAATAGTTGAATTGTCTCCTTCGAAAATGGGATTTTTTAATTGTAACCTGCCACATTCCCTACCACAGAAATGGGAACTTACTAAATAGGAAGCAATTTCAGCACTTAAATGTGCTGATGTGATGTTTCTTAATCACTTTAATGAGTTTCATACCACTAGAAATGGAATAGAAGTTTCAATGGAAATATAATTAAATAGAAAAGTCATTTCCTATACTTGTAATTTCCCCCTGATCGTTTCTTTATTCACCTCCATAGAAAGGGTGCCCTACAGGTGTATAGCGATATTATTATACAGACTTATTTGCATAATTCACTTAGGTTATTAGAGCTGAAAACAATATAAAACATAATACATTTTATTACAAATCAAGTGTAGCAAGGCAATGTAAAACTTTAAAACGATATTTCTTTTTTAAAGTCTGATTAATATTTACTAGTTTTACCTAATTTTTCTTGAATTGTCAATTTCTTGCCTAAAAATAGATTTTTCTTTTAGCAATGCCTTTTCAATGTTGCCTGCTTAAAATAATGCTCGGGGGAAGCAATAACCTGAATCAATAAAAACGGCAAAACATCTTTGGAAATAGTTGATTCTCCTGTTTGAGATCAGGAGTAAACAAACTGTTTAGCTGGGAGCTTATCAAGCCATGCTAAAAGTGTCAGCTGACACAAAGTAAGACACGTTAGATTGGAGTTATCATAGGGGTTTCCCTAAGACAAAACTCTATACTATACTATTTGCTGAGAAATAGTACGAAAGTTTTACCATTCTTGTACTGTGATGCTAAAAGAAAAGGCCATGTAAATGTGTTTAATTTGCTATTCGTTTAATTCATAAATGTAAGGAGAATCCAACAGACATTTTGGAAAGGGTGGCATTTTTCCTGACCTTAAGTGGGAAACTTGAGGTTTTTTACATTTCAACATAAAAGTAAAGGGGCTTGCTATCCATTTAGTTAATACAGTCCAACTTAAACTGCAGTTTTTTTAATTTTTAATTTTGAGATGAAGTCTCACTCTGTCACCTAGGCTGGAGTGCAATAGCACAATCTTGGCTCACTGCAACCTCCGCCTCCTGGGTTCAAATGATTCTCCTGTCTCAGCCTCCCAACTTATGGGGACCACAGGCATGTTGCCACCATGCCTGGCTAATTTTTTATTTTTTTTGTAGAGACAGGGGTCTCACTATGTTGCTCAGGCTGGCCTCGAACTCCTGAGCTCAAGCAATCCTCCCACCTCGGCCTCTCAGAGTACTGGGATTACAGGTGTGAACCACCATTCCCAGCCCTTACACTGCATTTTAGGGTAAATATTTTTAGGTTTGTAGTTAGGCAAGTGGTTTGAAGCATCATCAGTCTCAAACCATAGCTGCTCTTTCCTTATATTTTTAGATATCAAGACCTTTAAGCAAGATTCAGATGAAGGGCCTGCTTTACCAGCTCACCTGTGAATATGGAGGCACCAGCTTACTTTCTGCAGCACATGTATCTCAGGGGGTTGTCCCTTCCCACAGTGTATAGATTGGTATTGAGACAACATTCTCTCTCCAGGGTGCAGCGATGACCCACATATGTGAGACAGTCATTTACTGTCACCTTTATTTTATACTTTCTGTGGTTTCTAAAAAACATACAGAGTAGCTCTCTTGGTGACTACTGGGCTGATAAAGCTGAAAGATCAGTAATGTTAAACAGAAGTCCAGGGTCTGGGTCTGTATTTTGCTAAGGAACCCTCATCTGAGCTTCATTCCCTGTAAAATTAAGCTCTAAAACCTCTCCTAAATGAGATGGCTAAATGTCAAAGCATTTTGTAAACTGTAAATCAATTCAAATGTGAGTTAGTTTTTTTTTTTTCAAATGAACATGAAGTATCTTTCTGTATTTAGTTTTAATATTCTTTGCCGGGTATTTATTGAAATACCATCTTTCATTGTACAGTAGTGTATTTAAAAAGTGCTTTGCATGTCTTGTTTATTATGAACTACTAATTTTTTACTAATTAACAATTAACTATTTGCAGTGGCACTATTTACTATTCTGAATGTCACATTTATTTATTTATTCATTTGTGTTTTTTGACATGGAGCCTTGCTCTGTCCCCCATGCTGGAGTTCAATGGCACAATCTCGGCTCACTGCAACTTCCACCTCCTGGGTTCAAGCCATTCTCCTACCTCAGGCTCCCGAGTAGCTGGGACCAAAGGCACCCACCACCACGCCTGGCAATATTTGTATTTTAAATAGAGACAGAGTTTCACCATGTTGGCCAGGCTGTTCTCAAACTCCTGACCTCAGGTGATGCACCTGCCTCAGCCTCCCAAAGTGCTGGGATTACAGGTGTGAGCCACTGCGCCTGGCCTGAATGTTAAATTTAATCTCAAAGTTTGTTTCCTCAATGTTAAATTGAAAAAGAAATGACCTTTACAGATCAGGAGTAAACAAACTGTTTGGCTGGGAGTTTATCAAGCCATGCAAAAGTGTCAGCTGATCCAAAGTAAGACATGTTAGATTGGGGTTATCATACTATGGGGTTTCCCTAAGATAAAACTCTATATTATACTATTCAAATACTTTTAATATCTTAGTCATTTTTATTTTCCTTGTAGGCAATCTCTTTGAACAGAGGTTTATTCAGTAAAGGAAGGAAAGGTGGAGGAAGGAAAGAATTATAATGGTTAGAAAAGAGTAACTAAAGATTATTTCGATTATACTTCTGAAGAGCAAACTAGCAATTTTAATAAATATTTGGGTTCACTTAAACTTATTAAAGCAGAAAGTATAAGGCTGTCTCCATTAGTGCAGAGATGGAAGTGACAAAAACGAATCCGTTTTTGTAGCAACTGACTTAGAAAATCTTGTACTGAAATCAACAATTAGAGAGACTTGCACATCATAGATTTTCAAATGTTTGCTGAATTGAAAAAGAACATTGACAAGAATTATTTCCCCGCAAAGTGTCTTATGTCAAATAGATGAACTTCACGTTGTGGAATGTAAATCTTTTATTAAAACAGTTGTCTTTCCACAGTAGTAAAGCTTTGGCACATACAGTATAAAAAATAATCACCAACCATAGTTATACCAAATTCCTCTTATCAACTGCATACTAAGTGTTTTCAATACAATTTTTTCCGTATAAAAATACTGGGAAAAATTGATAAATAACAGGTAAGAGAAAGATTTCTAGGCAATTACTAGGATCATTTGGAAAAAGTGAGTACTGTGGATATTTAAAATATCACAGTAACAAGGTCATGCTTGTTCCTACAGTATCGCGGGCCAGACACTTAAGTGAAAGCAGAAGTGTTTGGGTGACTTTCCTACTTAAAATTTTGGTCATATCATTTCAATACATGTTGCATCTTGGTTGGCTGCATATGCTTTCCTATTGATCCCACACCAAATCACAAGTTAGAATCACTTCATTTAAAATACTGAGCGGTATTGAATACTTTGAAGCAGAACAGGCAATGTGCAGCCCTCATTTACGAGAAAACTCTCCGGACACTCCCAGGGTGATGCTTGGAGAAGCTGTGAGTTGAGCTGAAGCTGGAGCACTTCCTCCAGAGCAAAGGGCTTAAGAAAGAAACAAGAACTCTAAGATGGGTCTGCTAACATCACTCCAGTTTAGATGGATCTTGGCAGAGAGACACGCTTGTTCCTCTGGGTTGGAAAGATTTACTCTCGGGAATCTTCTCTGTCAGCCTGTACATCTAAAGGCATGAAGCACTCAATTGGGCAATTAACATTCTGTTAAAAAAGAAGGGAAAAAAAATTAGTGGCAAATACTGTAAAGTGTACAGAAAAAAAAATGTGGGGAGGTGGGGACTCGTGACAGCTGCTTATAAATAGGATAATATTTCTTCCTAGTTTCAAGAACCTAGCAGCATACTGGGCAATAGGAGATGTTCAGGAGTTAAATAAATGATAACTTAAACTGTATTATAGAACACAGTGTTTCACTTAAGTCATTCATGGGTTTTTTTAAAAAATTAAAATATTTGGTTCATTCTGAAGGAAGATACCTGTAGAAAGGACTGTCTAGTATGAGGGAACACACTCGTGGCACCAATGCACTTACAGTGTTTGTTCTTTGATGGTATCTCTGAGAATACTGGTTGTAGGACTGACCAGTAGTGCCTTCGGGACTGGGTTCACCCCCAGGTCTGCGGCAGTTGTCACAGCGCCAGCCCTGAGAGAGTAGAGGCATGAAGTCAAATGGGGTTTATGATAACCTGAGGACATCGTAATTTAGTGTTTGAGTTAAAGAAAAATTTCACAGCTTATGCACTGGCCAAATATAAGCAGTTAATCACTAAGGAAACTTTGATGATGATTTCATGCATTTATAATTCTTAGAATACATTTTGGCTTATTACCATATCTTATACCTGTATCTGTCTCTCTGTGTTGTTTCTTTTCCCCTGAAATGTCCTCTCTTCTCCTCCTATTCAAACCTTACCCATCTGCTGAGGCTCATTCCAATCCCAACTTCCTCAACAAGTTCTCTGCACTAGATGATGGAAAAGGTTTTCATAGAATCGTAGCGATTTTAAAAGGGACTTGAGATCACATGAACAAACATTGTCATTTTATAGGTAAGGAAACAAAGACCCAGAGGAGAGGAGTGACTTTGCTTAGAGGGAGCAGGGCAGTCATACAGTGGACCACTGGTGGAGTTGGGGCTGCTACCTAGGAGGTGGGGTGACCCCGGCCATGTTCTTTCTAATGCACCACTTTGCCACTCCCTTCCTAAACTTCCCTAGGCAGAGACATGGTAGCCTTTCGTCCGGCCAGAGATGGCATGGGAGATGGAAACGGGACCAAGCTGAGCCAGTGAGGCTCCTCCCTGAGGTTTTTGCTGGAAATGGGAGGACATACATGTTCTCTTTTACTACTGTTCTTAAGCTGGGAGGGGGTAAAACTGGAGCTCACGGAGGTCAGTCATCAATGACACCATCTGCAGAGACCCCTCTGAAGCATGGCGCCAGTGCATGGGAAGGCACCAGGAGCAAGAGGGACTCCGGGCGCCATTGCTGGAGCAGCCCCTGAAGCCGGTGGGTCCTGGGACTTTTCCATTCTGTGGACCATTTTTGCTTAACTTGAGTTGGACTTTTTTTCTTACAACTAAAATGCAGCCCTAAATAATACAATCACTTTCTTTTTTATATTAGAATTTAAATATTTTGGACATATTTCTCTGTGTAAGCACATATGCCCCTTAATACCTAACACAATACCAGTGACTGCCTCCTTACAGAGTCATTGAATCTTCCTTTCATATGAGAAAGTAACCGTTTCCACTCCTGTCTTATGTTTCATTTAGCACTTTACTTGAGAATGGAATAAGCCTCACACATGAAAGGTTTCATGTGCATAAATAATGAGAAGATGCTGAAGTGAGACCAAGATCAACTTCCCAGCAAATTCACTCTCCATCACACATTTTTAAAACCAGAGTGACTGAATTCTAAGATCATACGATCACAGTCGTTATAAGTGTTAATGGGAGAGAGAGAGAGAGAGACAGAGAGAGATACTGAATTCAATCTAAATTCCAATCTCCAATTCTCCTCCAGAATTGGGAGCACCTCCCTCCCCATGTAATCACTGGGGGTGAAACAAGATCAGAGTAGTTTCCATGGGCTGCCCCTGGTGGGGTCAAGACAGGCCCCTGAACGCCCTTGCTGCCAGATTAATTTTCCTAAAGATTAATTTTCCCAAAGACTATTTTCCATCATGTTTCTTTGCATCTTGGATACCTGTAATTGGTTAATGCCAAATGCATTAACCAGTGAGTCTCACCCTCGAGTGTGAAGCACGCCCCTCACCTACCAGGATTTGGGGAGTTGCTGGGAGGGCACGTCTTCACTGAAAACAAAGAGCTGTCACGTTCCATTGCTTTTATTTGAGTTACGCGTCATTTTGTTTTGAAATTTCAAATCATATTAGAGAAAGGCATATTATTTTTTGTTATACTGGGCATATTTTAGAAATGGTTGAGAAGTACTGGTTTAAACAATGGGCTGCCAAGGCCCTCCATAAGCCACTTCTTCCCATCTAATTTCTTACCAGAAGACAGCAGGCAGAGGGTTGGCTCACCAAAGCCCACCTGGGCCAGCTCCTTTCGATCCCAGGGGGTGTGCTTTCTGTCTCTCTGCTTTCTACCTTCTCAACTAAACCTTAGGCATCGTAAACTTCAGTCAGTTCATGCTTCTCTTTCTTGCTAATTCCAGCCTACCCAGAACTGTATTTGTCAGATCCACTTAGAACTTAATTAGCTTGACTTCGAAATGTATGCTAATTTAACATCTTCAACTATATCATTAAGAGCCAAGACCATTTCCCATTTCCTCTGTTTTTCCTGTATTACTTAGCACAGTGCTAGACCTGTAACACGGATCTGTTCTGAATCAAGAGAGAGGGTGAAAGAGTGGCATTTTCTTACATCTGAGATATTATTCAAAATATTTAACAACGTTGCCATGGGGACACCAGTCCATCAGAATGGAGCTGGAGGCCTAGAGCTACACTGCACTTAACACTTTAGTTGCTGAAAAATAGAAGCAGCCTGAGAGTAGCAGGGGAGGGGATGGTCTCAGGCTGCCCAGGATGGGGAGAACTGGCTGAAATGAAACACATTCTGCTCACCACTAATTAATTTGACTAGTATCTCTGCTTCACTTTTTTTCAGTGTAAATGATATCTCTGAGATGCCAGGGAGCTTAGGAAAATGATTCTAGCATAGTATAAATGACAGGTATTGCTATTAAGAATGACTCAGGACTCATGTTTTTGGTACTCTACATGCCATTCATTCTTTCTATTACTAGAAATAGTAATTCCTGCCATTCATTCTTTCTAATACTAGAAATTACTATTACTAGAAATAGTAATAGTAGAAATTACTATTACTAGAAAGAATGAATGGCATGTAAGGTAGACATAGAGCTACTCTAGAGCGCTGTGTCAGCAGCTGTATGCCAGCAAGAAACATGGTATTTTAATACTTCCGAAGGGTCTCTGCCCCTCCTGTGTGTACGACACATCCTCACAGGAGCCCACCCTTTATCTTAGCTAGCTTGTAGGGAGCCTGGCACATCTGGTCTTACCCGCTGGCCTCCAAAGCATGTGCAGGAGCAAATGGCACCGAGATATTCCTTCTGCCACTGTTCTCCTACGTGGTACGTCTTCCCATCATCATAACACGTTGCCTCATCTGCATGTAGACACAAGACAGATGCACGTGTAAGCTGAGAATAATACTGCAGACTTGATCTAGGGGTGGGTTCTATTTCTGTCCTAAATTTGTATCATCACAGTGCAAATTCCACATATTTATGTGAATCATCCATAAGAGAAGTACTACTATACAGATCTTAGGGTGGCATTTCCAAAAATTACACTTAATATACTGGAAAGGCTCCAATGGGAAGATGGAAATCATATTTTACAAGTTGAATCTACAGACTAATAAAGCTGCTTTCTAGCATTTTACTGCAGATAATGGTCAAAATACTCATGTTGGAAAAGTGCTAAAGTGTCCTGTAATAACATTAAATCATGACTCATTTTTGAAGCTTGTCTTCACTTTCCCAAATCAAAAGACTAAGAAACCCACTGTTCACTCTTAAAGGAGACCTAAAGTCTCCGATCATTTCTGTGAATGAGAGTTACAGCCTGATAATGAAAGTGGGAACGCTTAATAAGGCAACTAAAAATGATCTGTGATGACGTACGAGGGTCACACTTGAATTCTCCTTTTCCATTCCCAAGACACGTGCAGCTCATCATCTGGCCATTTTCTCCCTGACGGTCCCACTTCTCTCCAATCTTGTAGTTCACACCATTGTCATGGCACCATCCTGTAGGGGTGGGGAAAGTCAGGACCAAAAAGTTATTTGTATATTCTGACTCACAAGACAGTGGGTGAACTGGGACATGTCACAGGGTCTTCAGAAGCACGATCTGGAAGAAACAGCAAGTTAAAGATAAAAACCCCTATAATGGGCTGTTTTATTTGATTATTTTTATTTATTTAATTTATATATATATATATATTTTTGAGACAAAGTCTTGCTCTGTCACCCAGGCTGTAATGAAGTGGTGCAATCTCGGCTCTCTGCAACCTCCATCTCCTGGGTTCATGCAATTCTCCTGCCTCAGCCTCCCGAATAGCTAGGATTACAGGCACTCCCCACCATGCTATTTTTTTTTTTTTTTTTTTTTTTTGTATTTTTAGTAGAGATGGGGTTTCACCATGTTGGGTAGGCTGGTCTCAAACTCCTGAGCTCAGGTGATCCACCCACCTCAGCCTCCCAAAGTGCTGCGATTACAGGTGTGAGCCACCATGCCTGTCCAATGGGCCATTTCTTTGGTTGACTTTTAAAATATTATTTCTTTATCATTTACCATTTTCTAGGACATTTTAAGATCCAATTTATTCTGCCACAATCATGACATAAGAATAGTCAAATGAAATGACTTTCATTTGAATTCTCACTATTAAGATTTAAAATTGTGGAAAACTAAAGTGGGATTGGAGTAGACTGTTAGGAATAGATCCTAGATGAAAAATCACTTTTGGATTTGCAGAAACCCTGGATATGAAATAGTTCAATTAACCATAAAACAAGGATCAGCTGATCTCTACATGCCACCACCTGTTTCAGGTACGTGGGAAGAGTAAAAAAAAAAAAGAACCTGGATAAAACAAAACAAAAACAAACAAAATGCTAAATTATTGGTTATTATCCACATCAAATAAGACTGGTTCTGTGGAATATCTAAAAGTCACAGTTATATGCCTTTAACTACTATACATAAGAGGTAACGTTTTAACCTCCAGGGCTTGTACAACAAAACACACCTCAGAAGCTTATATAACAATATACTACTTCTTCCATTTTATCAACACTTCAGCCTGCCTTAAGTTACAAAGTAAAATAATTAGACAACTATGACATCAAAACAAAGATTATGTAAGTTTAGCCAAAGAGTCACATAAATGAACTTGACAGCTCTGCTCCCACAATTGCACCTAAGTGCTTAAACAGGTAATAAACGTACAAACTTAAATGTAGTTCGATTTCAGGAGTTAAAAACCACCTACTTGAAGTAAAATATTAAAATTTCCAACTCCTAAACAGCATATGATGTTTTTACTGTTTTTCATTTTCAGATGGTCAAATATGGAAGTCTATATTGAAAACAGCTGGCTCTAAAATTTCAGTCTGTATTAAATGATTTCAAGTATACAAGCTAAGTAAAATACTTTGAAAATCCTTTTTTACCAAGTCCTATATTCCAATCCCATGGGACATGATTTCTGTATGTCTATAGGTGGCTTATTTATAGGCATAATGGTCAACATCTATAAAAATGAACCAATTGTCAATAATAATCACATCTCGTAAACATAAAGAATAAATGAAAGGTTTATAAATTCTAATCCTAAATCTCAAAGCATAATAGATATTTCCTAGGCACATTTTAACTTAAAAAGTTTGAAAAATTAAAACCTATTAGAATTTAAAAATCAAACATTTATCAATTCAAGTTGATTTTTAATGATCTAAAAGCAGATTATCTGTTTTTTCTTTTATATTTCTAGCAACATTCAAGCTACCTGGGCTATGTGTGTGAGGCAAAAAAGTGTGTGCATGTGTACTATGATATGTGCATGTTTGTTTTATGCTGAAGGAGACAGTGTTTTTGAGTCTAAATGTCCACCTCTGATTTCACTCAACACTAAAGATTAAAAGAGATTTGAAGTTTTTCTGTGTTTCTAATACTCTTAATTAGACCTGGTTCCAAAAGCCTTTAAGTTTATCGATTTGTTTTCACAGAAAATTTCAAAAATCAAATTAGCACCATAACCTTATGTTTAATTAATGGTTGTGTTGGCATACAACCCTTGAAATGAAGCAATGTCCACCAAGTAAAATTTCCCATCATTTTTCTATGATGCAAAATATTACTTCGAGTCAAACAGTATTCCCTTGTTTGCTTCATGTTTGGAAGAACCTGTGTCTTCCAAACATGCTTCCTTGGCACATGAGTGCATGCATGGAACTGAGGAGACGAACACGCAAGTGGATGGACAAAGCAACTACTCACTAGATGAATCACATCTGAAATGACCACTTCCAAAGCCTAAGCAGTGGCACAACAGTTTAAAGCCTGATTCAGACATTCGTTCCCACTCATCTCCAACGGCGTAATGGGAAACCGTGTAGGGGTCAAAGCATGAGTCATCCGTAGGTTGGTTCAAGCCTTCATTGACTATGAAGAAAAGGAGGAAAAAGCAAAAAGAGACATCTTATTAATCGATTTGGACCATAAGAAAAAAACTGAATGATTGTATACAATCACTTAATCTAAAACAAAAATTTTAGGAGGATTAAGAGGCATTCATCTGTTCTATCAAGGCATTAACTGCTCTAAAAAACCATGCTTAGATGTAGTCAGTGGACACCTGTCACAGGCATCTGACAAGAAGCCCATCTTTTATTTTTCCCTTTGTTTCTAAAATAATTGCCATTTCTGCTAAAACTACTTTATAGAACGTGGAACAGATCTCGAGGCAGTTTAAGCTAGTTGAGAACTTTAGTGGGATGCAAAGACTAGCGATGCCTCTCCACTGGTACCTGAGTGACCTTGGGCTAGCTATTTAACATTGCTCTGCCTCGCTTCCCTCATCTGCAATACTAGGAGAATAATAAAAATATCTATACCTCCTGGGGAATCTTGCGAAGATGATATAAGGTCATGAATTCAAAACATTGACCCTTTTCCAAGGCTTAGAAAGTGTTCACTAAATAAAGAATAATTATTAAAGTTGTCTTTTGCTTATAATGCAAAAGTCTTAGCATTTTAATATACCATTATAATGTAATTTTCAATTTTATTATTGTAATTTTTGCATAATAGTGCAGAAAACCTAGATTTTGGACACTGTTATTATAGTGGTAAGACCGCTTTATCAGTGAGGTCAACGGTTCCAAATAAGAAAAAGCCCTTGGAATACAGATGATTTAGGAATGAGTAAGGGAGTGTCTTCATGTTACCTAAGATCTTATCTCTTCATGATTTGGAAAAGCTTATTTTAAAAAAAATCTATGCAAACAAAGCATGCTTCAAATTATTCCCTAAAAATTAAATAAACTAATTTACTTTGACTTAAAGTCCCACCATGTATTTTTCTTTTTACAGTGCAAAACTCAACAGCTCAAAAGCAGTAGATATTTGAAGTGCCTAATTTTTAAAAGGCATCACCCTTGAAGAAAAAAGTGTTTTGGAGAGCTAGTAAGTCTGAGACGTCTCAAAGCTGGGAGAACCTGGTTAGAATGTAGAATACTGCTGCTGGGAATAAGGAGTTTAAAAGAAAAATGGAAGGAACTTAAATTGTTCCTAGGGGTTTCTATACTCAAAAGAGCCAAGAGTTAAAATTCCATCCTAACTAAAGTTAAAGAGATGGAATCTTTTTTTTTTTTTTAAATGACTTAGAAAAGCACGAAGACCTTTTTGCTCTTGAAAATTCTGTTCACGTGGCATTCTGCTAGTAAAATCACAAAAGGCAAAGATAAGCATTACTGTGGCTATGTAATACAACAAACACAAATTAATCTCCTCCCAACCTCTCTCCAGCCAAATGCTCAACTGCTTAATTCACAGGAATTTATACATGTAAAGTAGCACAGTCTTCTATCAGATGAGGGAAGAGACTAAAATTAAGCGACTGGCCTTAGGAATAAAATCTGTCACTTGGCAAAAACAGGACTTAGCACTCTCTGTTGGTGTGGAGTAGAGAACCCTCCTGTTGGAAGATTCGGGATTCACGGTTTTGATTATCTCCTATCTCATGTGCCTTGGTGGATCTTCAGCTGCTTCAAATTGAGCAGCCAGGTGGCACACTATTGATTTAAAAGGATTTCCCAGGTGCTACAGAGAAGAGTCAATGATCTTTTAACCTCTATAGAAGCTTTTGACCTATATAGTCAGGAAAAAAATGGAAATAACGTTGGGAAAAATGGAAATAACATTGGAAAAATGAAATAACATTGGAATAACATTCTCTGCAGACAGAAATGCACAATGGTGGTAGCATTTTATATCAGGAGCAAAAGCCAACTGTCCCCATGTCTGCAGAAGGGGTATTTTCTTTATAGGTAATCATTTCAGTATTTAAGAATCACTCAAGAGGACAGCAGCATGGTGAGATGGAGAGGGTCTGGGGAAAGACATCAGGAAACCTGTGCCCTATATCAACTCAGATACTCACAAGTAAGGACTCAGAGTGTTGTACTAAATAATATTTGAAGTCCCTTCCAGATCTATAATCATATCACCATTTGACAGTCTGTCAATTACGTATGCATTTTGTGAAGACAACAGGATATGGCAGGAGGTGAGGGAGAGATTAATTTAATACAAAGTTGCTCATTTATTTCATGTTGATGTGTTGCATTATTTCCCAAAGATAAAAAGACAATGGCAGCAAAGGTACAGTCAATAGAAAAGCCCATCTCTGGTGTAGAGCAGAGGGGAGCCTGTGTCTTAATAATACGTGTTTACATACCAGAGTTGCCCACGGTAACAACCTCTTCCCGAACCTTATGCCTCTGCTGGTCTTTCAGTGCCTCCACTATGATGTTGTAGGTGGCACCTCTGGTGAGGCCTGTCAGAGTGGCACTGGTAGAAGTTCCAGGAACCCTGAACTGCAATTATCGGTACATCCAAAGCAGAGAAAAAGCATTATAGTGAGGAATGACATGGGCTCTCCTCTTACCAATAACCCTCACTGTTTAAACAAAGCAAAGGAAGACAATAAACAAAACAAAAAAAAAAAAAACAAAAAAAAAAAAGGAGAGTATAGTGGTCCTAACCAGCGGAGGAGAGAAATGGAACAAGGATAGGGGCTAACATTCCTGCCAGATTTTCCTGCCAACAATCTACCTATGTGGTCCGTAGTTAGCAGGAGCCCTCGACAATACTAGAGACAGCCTGCCCTTGATCTTGCTTCAGTCGCAGGTCTGCATAAGCCCTCTGGAAGCTCTGGCCATGTTTGCTTGACATAAAACCTGGACACTGCACTATATGGGAGACACAGTCATGCTACTCCAGGAGATATCTGACCCCAGTGTGGAGTCCTTAAAACAGTTGGGCAAATCCTCAAACCTGTGTTTCTAAGCTCATAAATTTCCTCCAGTGTTGTCAGTTTTTAAATTCTACCACTTTCTAAAAATAACAACATAATAAAAATTGATACTGTCAGTGGGCCGGGTACAGTGGGTGGCTCATGCTTGTAGTCCCAGTACTTTGGGAGGCCAAGGTGGGTGGATTACGAGGTCAGGAGATTGACACCATCCTGGCCAACATCGTGAAACCCCGTCTCTACTAAAAATAGAAAAATTAGCTGTGTGTGGTGGCACGTGCCTGAATCTCAGCTATTTGGGAGGCTGAAGGAGGAGAATCGCTTGAACCAGGGAGGTAGAGGTTGCAGTGAGCCAAGATCACGCCACTGCACTTCAGCCTGGGCAACAGAGCAAGACTCTGTCTCGGGGAAAAAAAAAATTGATACTGTCAACACAAAGAATATACGTTTTAGAGAATCAATCACTTATCAGCTGCTATGCACAGCTTAGCCTGGTTTTTTTCTATAGACATATTGTAGATAGTGGGGTTCTTCAAGGACAAATCGCAAAGGTAGTGTTGTAGACTGATGCACACAAATGGAGATTCAGGTAGAATGTTTTTCTTTCTTTTCTAGAATCATCTCTTTGTCCTTACTCAAAAAGGAACCTCAAATGTGTGAGAATAATAGAAATAGTTTCATTTTCTCTATGAAATAAAAGCTAGTGTCTCTCTGGTATATCCTCCAAAGTAGAGCCATGTCGGGATTAAAAAAAAAAAAAAAAGGCTTAAATGTGCCATCTTCTAAGAGGTTCTAGAAGGAAAGCCACTTTTTTTTTTTTTTTTCCTTCACCACGTTGGCCAGGCTGGTCTTGAACCCCTGACCTCAAGTGATCCACCTGCCTTGGCCTCCCAAAATGCTGGGTGAGCCACTGCACCCAGCCATGAAGCCACTTTTTATCTGAGGGCTGGTCACTTCAGTTACCTAACTTACTCCTTTCTGTGCTGCTCCATGAGAAGTGAAGAGAAAAATTAATTACCTGTAAGGGCTCTTCGTCAGTGCCAACAGGATGACATGAAATGATGTACTCAGAAGTGTCCTGGAATGGGGCCCATGAGATGGTTGTCTGAGAGAGAGCTTCTTGTCCTGTAGAGGCATTTGGATTGAGTCCCAGCCCATGTGGGTAGAGGTGATAGTCTACGTCTTCCCTGGGGATGTGACCAATTTGAATCTCCTCACCTACATTCGGCGGGTATGGTCTTGGCCTATGCCTTATGGGGGTGGCTGTTGTGGGAGGTGTGGTCCGCCTAAAACCATGTTCCTCAAAGATCATTTGTTGCCCAACAGTGGGTTGCTGACCAGAAGTGCCAGGAAGCTGAATACCATTTCCAGTGTCATACCCAGGGTGGGTGATGAAAGGGGTCTTTTGAACTGTGGAAGGAACATCCAAGATCTCTGGTCCATGAAGATTGGGGTGTGGAAGGGTTACCAGTTGGGGAAGCTCGTCTAGCCAAGAGAGGTTAGAGCCAAAAAAGCAAAGCGCATTAAGCTCCAAGAAGCAGCAGCAATAATAATCATCTATTCAGGCAACAATGAATGTTCACCAATGTGATAAAAAGCCCTCAGAAAATGAGCAGTTCTGAGATCACGAAACACTTTTTCCAGAAAGAAATCTTTAGGATTTTTCTCAAAGGTTTCTTTATAGTTTAGAAAGAAAAAAGTGTTAGTATGAATTTATCATACACACAGCTTTAAACCGCTGGGCCCCTTAGAAGCTCCCTCTGCTCAAATTAAACCTGATGGAACCGAAATGTGCATTCTCTTTCTTTCTTTTTTAAATTTGAGAAGCAAGTTGTAGGAAGTAGAATCCAGACTAATCATATCAGTGTCTTAAGTATGAGAATTACAGAGGTTTGGCTCAACAGTTTTTCATGGTTTGAAATGGTAAAAATAGATAAAACACACATTCATTTTTTAAATTTTCCTATCACTACAGCATTTTCTTGAAATTAAAACTGGGTGCAAAAGCAAGACATTATTTAGCTCGAAGTTGTAGAAACCAAACAATAAATAAAGATAAATGTGAGAGGTTTCTCTTCCTCCTTTAAAAAAGGAAACATTTTAAAATTCAACAGAAGGTATAAAAGAAGAGCAATGATAGCAACTTGGTTTTACATTTTAGCATCTTGTTTGAATTTTTAAAAGGTGAATAACAAGGCTTTATATTGAGTGGCTGTAGTAAAGAAAAAAAATAAAACCAAACTCTGCAGTGCATGTTAAATTATTCCTACTATTACAGAATACAATATATACACTATGCTGTTAGAAAAAAAATCACAAGAAATGCATCAAAACACGGAGAACCTTTTCATATTGCAAGATTGCTCATCTGTTATTAGTTTTGTCCTAACTTTCTCCTTGTTACCTGCAAGGTACTCTTACCTGTCTTTTTCCTTCCAATCAGGGGCTCGCTCTTCTGATTATTCTTCAGGGCAATGACATAAATGGTATATTCGGTTCCCGGTTCCAGGCCTGAAGGGAGAATAGAACCATCACATTATGTCAATGGGCTCAGCTAGTCAAGTGGAAGTCGGTCTCACCAGCAGATGCTACTGGGAGGAGGCACTTCCTCTCCAGCTGGCTGTTGGCCTCTTGAAGGTAAAATCAACTTCACTTTTCCTCCATAAACACCTAAATATCCTGCATATAAAGTGCACATCGCAAAGTACTTGTCTGACTGTCATATCTGACACCTGAATAGACACTTTTTGGGTACCTTTTCCAGGGTATTCTTTTACCATGTGGTCTTATTTGCCTTTTTGAATTTAAGAAAATCTATCAGCATCATATACCACCAGTCCTGCAGATTATATACATGAATCTACTTAGACCTAATAACCAAGTGGTCCTCAGTGGCAGATCAATGAAAAGCAAAACTCAAGGCAAGTGAAGGGTAAGAGAGATTGGCCAATCTTTGTACAGCCTCTGTGGGAAGTGTCTAGTTCAATTCCTCTCATATCTGCTTCTATTTTCCTGTTCTCCCGAGTTTTAAAAAGGCAGTGTGTCCTTCTAATGTCTGTATGTTCTATGGGAATTTTAAAGTCTAGGTGATACTCTATACAGACTGATATGGTTTGGCTCTGTATCCGCATCCAGATCTCATCTGGAATTGTAATCCCCATGTATTGAGGAGGGGAGGTGATTGGATCATGGGGGTGGTTCCCCCAGGCTGTTCTCATGATAGTGAGTTCTCACAAGATCTGATAGTTTTGTAAGTATCTGGAATTTCCTCCTTTGTGCTTCTCTCTCCTGCTGCCATGTAAGACATACCTGCTTTCCCTTCCACCATGATTGTACATTTTCTGAGGCCTCCTCAGCCATGCGGAAATGTGAGCAATTAAACCCCTTTATAGCAGTGTGAAAACAGACTAATACACATAGTTTAAAAATTTCATCTCTTGGGCAAAAATAATACTAGAGACTTATAGTCTTTCCCACCAAGGTAATCAACTTTTATTGGCCATTCCAGGCATTCTTTCTGATGTGGGTGGTTGGGATTGCTGTGCCTCAAGACCTATCCTGTGATAGTGGTCAATGGCAGGTGGTACTCTGGCAAGTCCTGCAAGAATGCCATATCTATAGAGATCTGAGTGTAATGACAGAATCACTATCAGCTAGTTTGCTTTAAAAATATCTTTCTCCAGGACTGAATTGACAGGTATCTGGCAAACTTGCAACAAAAGGAAAACATGAGTCTAGTCATGCCATTTAGGACAGTCTTGAAATTGCATTTTCCTTCACTCATGCCTTCTGGGATGTATTGAGCTGTACCACTCCTACACAGAGAATGCTTTTTGAGGTTATCAGGAACAGGGTTTTGCATTCTCATGACACAGTATCAAAGACGCAGCGGGCGTTTGCTAAGGACTTCATGTGCCCTAGGTAGTAAGAAGGAAAATGACAGCATGAAAGCAGCAATACCAGTAATAGTAGCCTCTGTGACACCAGGGCGGGGCCGAGGGACCACTTCTCTGGGAGAAGACCCAGGCTTCTCATACTTGATGATGTAGCCGGTGATCCTGGCACGTGGCGGCTGCCACGATACCAGCAAGGAATTGGGTGTGGTGGCCAGGAAACGCAGGTTGGATGGTGCATCAATGGCTGAAAGAAAAGAAAATTAAGTCTCTAAGAAGGCAAATAACCAAGAAAATTATTCCCACACTTTTCTCCCTAGCCCTTCTAAACACACTTAAAAGAATCTGAGAATACTGTAAACCGGAAACAGGATTCTCGGGAATCTATAATACAAAAATATCCGCCTCACTTTTGTTTTTTGAGTTCATGAGACTGATTGCATACAAGTCAGTGGCATTTCCTCAGTAGAAGGTATAGTTACCAGTGGAGGCGTCGATGACCACAGGGGAGCTCCGGGCATTGTCGTTCAGGGTGTACAGGTAGATCTTGTAGTCAGTGCCTGGTTGTAAACCTGGGATTTGAGAAGAGATGATTTTTACCAGTTCTTGCTTTACTAGGAGAATTCTCAAGCTCGCCTGCAGTTTTTCTGGGTTTCTCTATCATCCCATATTTATATAGACTATCAAAGTGGTCCACATTTGAACAGTAAAGTAGAGCATGGTATGGATGTAACTGTTAACAAGAAATGTATCTTGAAAGTGAATCACTGATGCAGATAAGGACACTGGCTAAAGTAAATTCTGGAATGCAAAAATGCTATATTGGAAGAGGCAACATTCATTGCAGAATGAGGGGCGGCCATTTATTGAGGTTTTCTCTTTATAGTAATCAGATGATCAATAGCTGAGCCTTGGAATCAGAATTTTAAAAAACTGAAAAAGACCTCAGATATTGAATATTCTTTGGTTACAACTTTGACCTTTATTAAGTAGTATCATTTACTTTTATATTAACTATGCTTTTTAATCTATACTAATGCTAAGATCTATACATCACTGTTTTTTATTTCTTTTAGTTTTAAACTTTGTGTTATAATTTTTTAAATAAGAAAGGGCACAATGATGAAAGATCAAACTTGTTGAATGAAACTTATGCCATTTCCATGACAAATATTACACAAAATCAGGCATTCAAAAGACAAAACAATTTCTGATCATAGCATGAAAATAATGTTCTAAAACTGGGTAATGATAACACTGAAAATAAATTTTATCAGTGTCAGTCTTAGAGCAATTAATAAGTCAGTTTACATTGTGGATATTTTTTAACAAATGTGGTTAGCACAGTGAGTTCCCTGACCTGTGATGGTGTAGCTTCTGACATCTGGCTTGATGGTTCTCTGGACTGGAGTCTGGCCATTGGCTGGAACAGCATCAACTTGGAAGCCAGTGATCGTCTCGGTCTTGGTTCTCCAGCTAATGGTGATGGTGGTCTCAGTAGCATCTGTCACACGAGCCCTTCTTGGTGGGCTGACATCTGTACAGGAGCATAACTAGAGATTAGTGCCTGCTTGGCTCATCCTTGTAAAGTTTTGGTATTTTAAAATGTTTCCTTGGTATATATCAAATTCATCCATTTCAAGAAATATATAACTAGTAATGTGTAGATTATCTCCTTTGGCATTCAGAGAGAAAGGTCAACTGCAATTAGAAAATATGAAAAAAAATGGCCGGGCGTGGTGGCTCAAGCCTGTAATCTCAGCACTTTGGGAGGCCGAGACGGGCGGATCACGAGGTCAGGAGATCGAGACCATCCTGGCTAACACGGTGAAACCCCGTCTCTACTAAAAAATACAAAAAACTAGCCGGGCGCGGTGGCGGGCGCCTGTAGTCCCAACTACTCGGGAGGCTGAGGCAGGAGAATGGCGTGAACCCGGGAGGCGGAGCTTGCAGTGAGCTGAGATCCAGCCACTGCACTCCAGCCTGGGCGGCAGAGCGAGACTCCGTCTCAAAAAAAAAAAGAAAAGAAAATATGAAAAATCTACCTCTCATACACTTTATTTTGAAGAACTGAAAAGCTTTATAGATACTACCAGTGGTTCCTAGGGCTGGCTTTTTAATATCTACAAATATTTCAATAAATATTAAAATTATTAATGCATTATAATGTAAAAATATGTGTGGTAGGAGTTATAACATGGCCAGCTAACAATTATATGTGTGTGTGTATGTGTGTGTGAGAGAGAGAGCATGTGTATGTCTGTGTGTGTCTAATATTACTGCAAGTATTTTATCTTTTCTCTCAACAGGTAAAATGCCATCCTTCTTTTATAAACTATGAAACTTTGACACTTTACCTGACTTTTGAAAAGGCATATATCAAGTGATTGATACAACAGAAGACTAGAATCTAAGCCTGATTTTGGTCCAATGGTTACTGTGCTGTGATATAATTTGGATATTTGCTCCTGTCCAAATCTCTGTTGAGTTGTAATCCCCAATGCTGGAGGTGGGGCCTGGTGAGAGGTGTTTGGATCATGGGGGCACATCTCTTGTGGCTTGGTGCTCTCTTTATGACAGTGAGTTCTCAAGAGATTGGGTCATTTAAATCTGTGTCGTCCCCTACAACTCTCTCTCTCGATCTTGCTTTTGCCACAGCCATGTGATGTGCCTGCTCCACCTTGGCCTTCCATGATGATTGCAAGCTTCCCAAGGCCTCCCTAGAAACCAAGATACCAGCACCATGCTTCCTGTAAAGCCTGCAGACCTGTGAGCCAGTTAAGCCTCTTTTCTTTAGAAATTACCCAGTCTTGGCCGGGCGTGGTGGCTCAAGCCTGTAATCTCAGCACTTTGGGAGGCCGAGACGGGCGGATCACAAGGTCAGGAGATCGAGACCATCCTGGCTAACCCAGTGAAACCCTGTCTCTACTAAAAAATACAAAAAGCTAGCCGGGCAAGGTGGCGGGTGCCTGTAGTCCCAGCTACTCGGGAGGCTGAGGCAGGAGAATGGCGTGAACACGGGAGGCAGAGCTTGCAGTGAGCTGAGATCCGGCCACTGCACTCCAGCCTGGGCAACAGAGAGAGACTCTGTCTCAAAAAAAAAAAGAAAAAAAAAAGAAATTACCCAGTCTCAGGTATTTCTTTATAGTAATGCAAGAATGGCCTAATGTGCATTATTAAGATAGAGCAGAAGCCAGTGGGGTCTCCCCAAACTTAGCTCTATGAAAACAAATTCTAAAAAGTAGAGCATAAACTAGATGTCAGTCCTAGTCCATAACATCAACATTATAAGCTGATGAAGTGATTCCATTTTATGGGTCAGTAGACCCCTTTCTGAAGGAGTATAAAAGATGACAGTCATGCGTCAAAAAGACAATCAAATTGATTTTCAAATTAGGACTCATTCCACTGTTAACATATATAGCTTAAAAACATTTTTATTTATTTATTTATTTATTTATTTATTTATTTATTTATTTTAAGAGACAGGGCCTTACTGTGTTGCCCAGGTTGGTCTGAAACTCCTGGCCTCAAGTGATGCTCCCACCTCAGCTTCCCAAAGTGCTAGGATTTTAGGCATGAGCCACTGAACCCTGCTGATTTACCATTCTTTAATTTTGGTCTATACAGAAGGTTTGTCGATATGAAGAGATTTTATTGCTTACTCTCTAGAGTGGTGACAACTCCCTGAGCTGGTCTGCTTGTCAGAGTGTCCTTAAGAGCATAGACACTCACTTCATATTTGGTGGCCACCTAGAGAAATAAGGGCATGGTGAGCATTAGCAGTGTCATGAACTGAAACCCAGGGAGTTTCACTACAGCATTAGGTAAATACAATGATTAGAAAATAAAAAATAAACAAACTAGCAAAACTCACAACCTTGTAAATTCCTTGATTTCATTCCTACAGTGCAGGTGATCAACGTATTTAATTTATCAGTTTTAAAATGCTCTTAGCGGTTAAGCTTAAGTAAGCCATAGATTACATACTTAAACTAAGCTGGTAAAAAAATGAGGAAAGTGGGTATTAGCATATTTTTCTTTTTTATGATCTGACAGGTGCAAATCATAATTTTACCCTTATCATAGAGAGGCAAAAAGAATGTTCCATTTTGTCTCTGAACAATCTTTCTGTAGTTTCCCCTGAAATTGACCTTACGTTAAGAGCTACATCAACCCCCTAGGTTCCTAGCAGTTTTCTGCATGTATGTCTGGAAGGTTTTTAAAATGTTTTAATGAGGGTAGGGTCAAGGTAAACTGGTACAAACTGTAAAATATTCTTTACCAAGATAACAGAGCTCAGAAAATGCATAACTAAGTCAATTTATGCATTCAAGCAACGGATATGTAAATTGTTCCCCACAACCTTTTAAAATAAGCACAATACATCTAAAAGAGCTGAACAAAATCCAAAGCTATTTATAAAATTCTGTCCCAATGGTTACCTGGAAAACTTAGGTCAACATAAAGGAATTCTGTTGATACAAAGTTACAATAAGAGTATTTGATGCAGAGGAAAAGAATAGTTAGATTTATTATTACATTATATTTTCACCACCTTAGAAACTGTATTAGAGATGGTCTCCATCTTTATTCCAATGAACAAAGGTCACGTCTTACCATAAGTCCTGATACAACCACGGATGAGCTGTCAGGAGCAAGGTTGATTTCTTTCATTGGTCCGGTTTTCTCCTTGGGGGTCACCCGCACTCGATATCCAGTGAGCTGAACATTGGGTGGTGTCCACTGGGCGCTCAGGCTCGTTGGTGTGACCTGAGTGAACTTCAGGTCAGTTGGTGCAGGAATAGCTGTCGGGATTGTCATTGGTTAGAGGTTATCTTATAGGAAATGGGGAAAAAGGAAAATAAAGTGGGTTCCAAGAAGTAGAATGGATTGTTCTTGTTGGGTTAGGTAGGTTCCCTGGTCAAGCAAAGATTCAGTATGAGAAAGTACAATAAGGGATGTAAAATGAAGAAAGTGTTTGCTGAGAAATGCGTTTTATATCCACCAATTCTCAGAATCACTGAAAACATTTGGATAAATGCCAGAACTCTAAGAGATTTTAGGTTTTAGAAGTTTTTTTGCTTTCCCTTAAAAAAAAAAGTTATATTGCCTTATTGACCATTATGATTTACTTTCCCTTTGTATGGAAAAATAAGCAGTAGCCCTTTTTCTTTCTTAAAATTTTTAATTAATTTAGAAACAGGGTCTTGCTCTGTCATCCAGGCTGCAGTGCAGTGGAGCTGTCATAGCTCATCGCAGCCTTGAACTCGTAGGCTCAAGCGATCCTGTACCTCACCCTCCTGACTAGCTGGGACTACAGGCATGTGTCACCACACCTGGCTAATTTTTTCATATTTTTTGTAGAGATGGGGTCTCACTTCATTGCCCAGGCTGATCACGAACTCCTGGCCTCAAGCAATGCTCCCACCTTGGCCTCCCAAAGCACTGGGATTACATGTGTGAGCCACTGCACCCGGCCTCCTTTTTCTACATAAAGTATCTTTGTATGGATTACCATTTCACACAGTATTCCATCCAAAAAAGAGAGAATAATGTTTTTATTGTCTCTTTATTTGGACCCTATGACAGATATGGCTGCTAAATTTGATGTTCTCTCTGTAATGCGGCATAAGAAGAAAATTGGCTCCCAACAGAAGCAGAAAAGAGAAGCGAAAAGCAATAATACAGACTGTCACCTCTAGGGTTTATGCTGTCACTAGGATACATCTTTAGCATTCTACTCTGCTTCAGAAATAAAGCACAAGAGCTAAAGTATTATGGAAAGCAATTGCCCTATTGATTGTTTCCTATGTGTCTGAATCACAATCATTTAAGCTAATTATACACCAGCGCATGACATCTAACCAGAGAAGAAAGGTCTTACCCATGTGTGCTCAGAATCATGCTGCTATGAAATGCCCCAGTTTGGGTTCCTTTTTATAAGTAAGCTGTATGATGCCAAACTTCTTTCCTTTATACATAGTGAGGGTAATCACAGGGAGTCAGAGCTTAGGAAATAATCCACAATTTTAGTATCCTCTTCAAACGTCTCGTTTTATGGTCTTGTTTATAAGCCAAGATACTCCAAAATTTCTTTTTATCAGACTTGTTTACTTAAATATCACCTCAGTTTTATTGTTTCTTACCATTCCTCTTTAAAGAGGATCTTTCCTAATCATTTTTTTCACCCTTACACGGGAATCAATAGCCCAGTGAAGTATAATTCATTCAGCAGGGCATAAAGCCGCTGCTCCCATGGGCACCTGGTGGTGCAATTAACCATATACCTGTGGACTGGGTTCCAATCAGGGGCTGGCTCTCCATATCATCGTGCAAGGCAACCACACTGACTGTGTACTCAGAACCCGGTCTGAGGCCTTGCAGCTCTGCAGTGTCTTCTTCACCATCAGGTGCAGGGAATAGCTCATGGATTCCATCCTCAGGGCTCGAGTAGGTCACCCTGTACCTGGAAACTTGCCCCTGTGGGCTTTCCCAAGCAATTTTGATGGAATCGACATCCACATCAGTGAATGCCAGTCCTTTAGGGCGATCAATGTCTGTTAGGCAAATTAATGGTAAGAGGTTATGTGAAAAGCAAGTTGTGAAATAAGCATTTTTATAACATGCAAAGCAGTTTTGCAGATACCATTTTCTTTGACGAAGTCCAATTAACCCACTGTCAAATGGAAAATCACTTAAACACTTGCTTAATCTTTCTTGGTTTAGAAAATATGCAATGTTGCATCACTTATTAAAACATAGGTGTATGTGAGATAAGCAGATACCCTGCAAAACGTCCCCACAATGGCAATGTATTTATATTAATTTAAAGATATTCTACTACCATTTGATTTTACAATGTGATGTTAGTCTCATAGACCTGGATTTTCTATACCTTGGAAGTGGTAAAGCTGATTTGCAACGTCAGATTCAAATTGTTATAATTGTTCTTTTTTTTTTTTTTTTTGAGATGGAGTCTCCCTCTATCATCCAGGCTGGGGTGTAGTGGCATGATCTCAGCTCACTGCAACTTCTGCCTCCCAGGTCCAAGCAATTATCCTGCCTCAGCCTCCTAGTAGCTGGGATTACAAGCACGTGCCACCACGCCTGGCTAATTTTTGTATTTTTAGTAGAGACGGGGTTTCACCATGTTGGTCAGGCTGGTCTTGAACTCCTGACCTCGTGATCCTCCTGCCTCGGCCTCCCAAAATGCTGGGATTACAGGCATGAGCCACTGCGCCTGGCCCTATAATTGTTCTTACACTCTTCTTTTCTCGTCTCTATTAAGCATTTATAGTACACTCTGGTCCAGCCATAGTCCTTCAAATGCCCCAAACATAACAGCTACATGAGGCACACTTCAATCAGCTTTACCATCCAGTTGTAGAAAAGACGGTCTAGGAAAATTTTTTGTAGATTTGCTATAGGCAAATAAGATTTCGCTGAGGCCATTTGAGCAAAAGAAATTCAAAGCACAGCAACTAACTATGGTAGTTTCACAACTTCTTTCTCTATAAATTCCTTGCTTGGCACCGAGAAGGAAAAAAGATGTTCGTAAAGGGCTCAGCTCAAGACATAAACTAACCAACAAGTTGACTTTCCCTATATGTAATTGCAAAAGACATGTGGCGGGCATTCAGACACCCAAGAACAAAATTCGACTTTGAAAATGGAAACCAAGCAGTGGTTACGTACTGGTTACTGCAGTCTGAACCAGAGGCTGACTCTCTCCGTTTGGATTCTGAGCAAAGACACTAACCACATACTCCACTGTGGGCTGCAAGCCTTCAATAGTCATTTCTGTTTGATCTGCAAAGGGAGTGAAAAGCAAATACGATACCCACGTCATCCACTATAAAGTCCTCCAGGTGGCTTCTAGAGTTTGGTAGTGAACATATGGTGGCCTAGAATTTTTATTTGCAGAATTGTAACAAAAATATGGAGGAGTCAGACTTTGATTTCCTCTTGGACAAACCTGTTCATTGCTAATACAAATTACCATATGGGAGTGAAGTCACACTCAAGGATAAGTTCTAAAGCTTAATATGATGCCCCCAACAATTAGTGATACTGCTCTCAGAAAAAATGAAAATTAACTTGACTTTAATAAATTGCCTTAAGATCCTAATTTCACAAGTATTCTATTTAAAAACAAAGACAACATAGCTAAAAGGATCTGAAAAAGTCAGTTAGGCCATTTCTCTTTTTAGTGTGAATGATAAACAAAACCAGAAGGGTGAATCTAATAATTTAAGATGCCCATATCACTAAATAGAACTATCCATGTTAAAACAGAAATGCACTTAAGACTTCTACTGTGAAGAGGGTTGATAACGGTCTTGAGCCCTGAATTCGTGAATGGGGAAAATGATGACATAGGACAAGAATTACATAGTACTCACAACAAGGTAGCCATTTACATAAAAAAGAATATTAGATGCTACCCCATCTATCCTGTTGTATATGAGATGCAGATTATTCTTTTTTTTCCTGAGATGGAGTCTCTCACGCTGTCTCCCAGGCTGGAGTGCAGTGGTGCTATCTTGGTTCACTGCAACCTCTGCCTCCAGGGTTCAAGCCATTCTCCCTCAGCCTCCTGAGTAGCTGGGATTACAGGCAGGAGCCACCATGCCCAGCTAATTTTTTGTATTTTTAGTAGAGATGGGGTTTCGCCATGTTGGCCAGGCTGGTCTTGAGCTCCTGACCTCAAGTGATCTGCCCGCATCAGCCTCCCAAAGTGCTGGGATTACAGGCATGAGCCACCACGCTCGGCCAAGATGCAGATGATTCTTACCTGGACCTGCAGTTTTAGTTTTTGTTGGTCCTGGTCCATTTTTGGGAGTGGTGGTTACTCTGTAACCAGTAACAGGGGAACTTGAAGGCAGCCACTTGACACTAATGCTGTTGTCCTGAACATCGGTCACTTGCATCTGTGATGGTTTGTCAATTTCTACATATAAAAGCAGGGAGAAACCGGTGAAGCCCCAGTCCTTGGAGAAAAGATTGGACAAGCCCTCCTCTCTAGGTCTGCTATATGTTCAAATGATCTCTTACATGAGAAAGGTATTTCTTCTTGAAAGAACACAGAGAGAGCTTTTAGAGGGATGGGGCAGGCATCTCAATACCATTTCCTATTTTTGAGATGGCTGCTTCATCCACAAAGAAGCTACATTCCACAAGCAGATACCTGTCATCCTACTTTATCAACTCATCCATTCTTTTCCAACAAATATTTATTGAACACTCTCCATGCCCGTCTTATTGCAGACATGTGGAATATATCAACAAAACTGACAAAACTTCCTGCCCTTGAGGTGCTTCCTTCTTTATCTGGCTCAAAACTCTGTTAGCTGCAGGTGTTAGCTGCAGTTTGTTGTCTCATTAAAAAGGAAAATCTATTCCACAATGAGAAAAATACCTTGGGAGAACATTGTAAAAAACTATCTGAATAAATAAGCTGGTGTCACCCCAGAGTAGAAGTTTGTACCTGTTCGGTAATTAATGGAAATTGGCTTGCTGCTTGCGGGGCTGTCTCCACGGCCAGTGACAGCATACACAGTGATGGTATAATCGACTCCAGGTTTAAGGCCACTGATGGTAGCTGTAGACTTGCTCCCAGGCACAGTGAACTCCTGGACAGGGCTATTTCCTCCTGTATGAAAAGGGGTTAGTTCAGAGTGTGAGGGGCTTAGAGCTACTTGGGTATTACTGATTAATTGAATTACCACATTTATAGCAGCATGTAAATCACATCTTCTTGCTTATTCCCTTTTAAAGAGCACTCTCTTGAACAGAAAGAGGTATTTATGCACGTAGCAAACCTTGGTAAGTGTATAAACATTGAGAGAAAATTACAGTTAGCGCTATTTTAACATTTCAGCTTTAAAATGCCACTGAGTAGTAGAGTAGCATTAAAAGTGGGAAGAAGGTAAGCCCTCAACGGAGGATTGCACGCATTGTGTCCTTTTTAAAAATTTTAACGGAATAAATTCCTGTTAAATAAAATTTGGAAAATATAGAAAAGTAAAGAGAAGAAAAAATAAAAATCACTTATTTCCACCACTGATAATATGTCTGTGAATTTACAATCCTTTTATTTCCTCCGCTCTGCTGTTCCCCCTCTAGTTGTATTATATAAACAACTTTTTATTTGGCTTTTAGAACAAATTATATCATCTATATCTTCCATATTTTCTTGGAAAAAACCAGGGCTCCATTGAATGGACTTGCCAACATTTCTTTAATTCTTTGTTCACTGTTGGGCTTTCAGGTTATCCACAACAGTCTGATTTAATCAGAGTGTAAAATAGCATTTTGCTGCCGTACCTGTTTCTCCATAAGTGATCCTGTAATATCTCACAGTGACAGCAGGAGCATCCCAGCTGATCAGCAAGCTGGTGGGGGTCGCAGCAACAACTTCCAGGTCCCTCGGAACATCAGAAACTGGAAAAAAAATCGGGAAACTTTTCACATCCGTAATTTTCAAACAATACTCAGATTTATTCTTTGTTTATTTTCCAAATAGTTGTCTTAATGATTCCTTCATACAGTAATGTAAATAATATGTGTAATTAGCAGAATTTAATATTATGACGAATTCAAGATAAGGGGTTACAGAGCCCATTCAAATTGTGATAAAATGATTATTTCAAATTTAGGGAAGAATTTTTTTCCCTCAACATTGTGTTTGGAAAAATTTCAAAACTACAGAAAAGTTTAAAAAAAATGTAATACAAGGCCGGGTGTGGTGGCTCACACCTGTAATCCCAGCACTTTGGGAGGCCGAGGCGGGCAGATCATTTGAGGTCAGGAGTTCAAAACCAGTCTGGCCAACATGGTGGAATCCCACCTCTACTAAAAATAAAAAAATTAGCCGGACGTGGTGGTGGGCGCCTGTAATCTCAGCTACTTGGCAGACTGAGGCAGGAGAATTGCTTGAGCCCAGGAGGCAGAGGTTGCAGTGAGCCGAGATCCCGCCATTGCACTCCAGCTTGGGTGACAGAGCAAGACTCCATCTCAGGAAAAGAAGGAAAAAAAAAAGTAATACAATGAACACCTATATACCCTTCCCTTAGGTATTTGTCTCTGGCTTGACAATTTGAGACTAAAATACAGGTATCATGATGCTACTGTTCCCCTAAGTACTTCAGCCTCTATCTGCTAAGAACAATGACACTGTTACCCTAAAATTATATTTTTAAAGGTACTTTGAAAAAGTGTTCAGTTTTCTACATTTTTTTTTTTTTTGAGACAGATTCTTGCTCTGTTGCCAAGATGGAGAGCAGTGGAACAATCTTGGCTTACTGCAACCTCTGCCTCCTGGGTTCAAGTGATTCTCCTGCCTCAGCCTCCGAAGTAGCTGGGACTACAGGCGCATGCGACCACGCCCAGTTAATTTTTGTATTTTTAGTAGAGACAGGGTTTCACCATGTTGGCCAGGATGGTCCCGATCTCTTGACCTCATGATCCACCCGCCTTGGCCTCCCACAGTGCTAGGATCAGAAGCGTGAGCCATTGCACCTGCCCTCCCCCTTTTTTTTTTTTTTTTTTTTGAGACAAGGTCTTGCTCTGTCACCCAGGCTGGAGTGCAATGGCTTGATCTCAGCTCACTGCAACCTTCGCCTCCCGGGTTCAAAGATTCTCCTGCCTCAGCCTCCCGAGTAGCGGGAATTACAGGTACATGCCACCACACCTTGCTAATTTTTGTATATTTAGTACAGATGGGTTTTCACTGTGTTGGCCAGGCTGGTCTTGAACTTCTGACCTCAAGTGATCTGCCCACCTCGGCCTCCCAAAGTGCTGAGATTACAGGCGTGAGCCACCACATCTGGCCAATTTTCTACATTTTCAATAAAACTTGTGTTATTAGAAATGCATAAATGCCCAAATCAGGTGAGAAATTTCTTGAGAGGAAAAAAATGATCTTCTTTACTGCTACCATGCCCAGACTTCTTTACCATATTCTAAGAGAGGTGTTTCTCCACATATTCTCTCCCTTTCCTCTCCATGTCCCATGACAGTGATCTATTTTTTTTTTTTTTTTTAAGAGCTGATGACAGACAACAGCAAGCTACTTTACAGAATCTACCAACTGGGTAGGAAAGTCTTCTGAGTTTCTTTGCAGACCAGAAAACAAGTTACCTGTTGATTGTTGGCCAATCAATAAGGGACTTTCCTCTCTGCCATTAAGAGCAACGATGCTGACCACATACTCTGTGCCTGGAGTGAGGTTGGTGAGGGTGATGGAATTCCGAGAGGGGGGCACCCGATCTTCTCGAGGTCTCCCGCTCATGTGCTCGGGGTGATGGCGGATCCTGTAGCCAGTGATGGTGGCTCGAGGAGCAATCCAGTGCACAGTAAAAGAGTTGGCAGTAATATCAGAAAAGTCAATGCCAGTTGGGGAATCAAGACCTGTTGTTCCCACCCAGGGGAGGAAGAGAAAAAAGAAGAAAAGATACTACCAGTTTAGGAAGTGAAGAAGGTGTAGGGGAAATTAACGTACATCCAACATTTCATTCCTGTCTCATCAATACCATGATTTGCCATAAACCTCAGAGTAAGATGTACTGATTCTAAGCTACATATGAATTTTAAAATCTTAAATTGACTTACTTCAAAATAGCCAGCTCAAGCACTCATTTTTTTCTTTTGCTAAGTAATTCAAGCAATTTTTAGGGGTTATTACTGTAGGTTTCTGTGTTACATTTGGAGATAAGTGTTCAAGATCTTCTGAGAATTGACATTTTCAAATTCTTCAGTGTTTAAATATTCTGTGTTTCTATCCTGTAAGTGTATCCTTCCAAGTAAAGCAAGATCTGCCCACTCTCAAGGTAAATGTTTGACTCTCAGAGAAGCCTCCTAAGCTCAAGAGGGAATTTATATGTCAACAGAATGGTAATGATGCCAAACACAACTTTCTGAAACTAAAGACATTATCCCAGACAAATTACAATGCTGATAATTCCTCATGAATTGACATTTTTGAAAAATGCACAAAAATTCAGAGTTTGTTGTAAATTTAAACCACTTAGTCTCTGGGACTTCCAGCAAATTTCTGTTCTAGTTACAGCATTCACTAGTTCTATTCAATAAGAAACCAAACTAAGATATCGTAAGTCCTTTTTGGAAGCAAGTAGACTATAAATAAATTAATTAATACACTAAACTGTATCTTTTTAAGGAAAAAATTAAAAGAAGCATTCATATTTAAGTACATAATATTTATGAGGTTCAGTTCAACTTCCTTCTAGTAAATTCATATTTTATTAAGTAAAAAGTAAACTTGCTGGGTTAGTAAAGGAAGAAAAATAGATGACAATGAGTGTTGGGTCAGCCATTAGACAGAGCCACCTAATGAAAAGGAATGTCCACTAAATCTAAATAACAAAGATCTTCTTAGGAAATGTTTTTTAAAAGGACAGACAACAAATTTCTTGATTAATTTGTTAGTGACTGAAAGTCTAGGTGATTGTTGAGTAAGGTATCTTTTAGTTTTTCAGACCAGTGGTAAAGTCATACTGTGATGACAAAAGTACACACACCACGACCACAAACAATGGAGATGTATTTCATTTGTTATACAGAATTGGTAGGCAAAAGTCATACTTTTGACTTTATCCAGTATGACTGGATAGTCATACTGCCAACATCACTCACCTGTTTTCTGTCTTCCTCTAAGAGGTGTGCTCTCGTGTTGTTCGTAGACACTGGAGACACTCACTACATATTCTGTACCAGGCAGGAGATCTGAAAGGGCAAGTGGGGCTTATTTTAAAACTGTGCTTGAAAGCATGAGAAACCAAAGCGCGCCCAGGACTATTTCAACTGATGAAATGTCCAAATGTCCAGTCCTAAATCCTACTTACACTTAAGTGAACACTAAGGCAAAGTGTTCACTGAACAGACCTGGCGAAGGTCTGTAATTAGATGACTCAGCTGGATTTCAAGTGGGACGAAGTTGCTGCAACAACTGGATATTTCTCGCATCCACCTGAGAGTATGTCTCTGGAGGGCACATGATAATCCTGGCTGTGGTACTATGGATTGCCATTGATGCCTCACAACAACCCTGAGAGGTAGTTTGCTACTTTTAAAAGCAATTTTCTTGCCATACAATGTACTGCATATATTTAAAGTGATTTGATGGGTTTTTACATATGTGTGACTTGGGAGACCATCACTGCATTCAAGAAATGAGCAAACCTATCACCTCTAAAAATTTGATTTACAATTATCTCCATTTTGTAAATGACAAAAAACCAAAAAACAATAACAACAAAAAATACTGAGGCACAGAGAAGTTATCTTCTTTAATTTACTTGCCCAGGATCATACAGGGATTGACCCAGGCCGGCACTGGTGGTCTTAGCAATTAACCTTTACTGGAAAAAAGCCACACTTCAAGAGAAAGCAATCGGTTCTGCCATATTAAAATGAGAGCAGAATAGTTTTTTAAAAATTAAATATACATCCCTGAGTCTCTTCTTCCTTTTTTTTTTTTTTTTTTTTTTGAGACAGACTTTCACTGTGTTGCCCAGGCTGGAGTGCAGTGGTGTGATCTTGGCTCACTGAAACCTCTGCCTCGTGGGTTCAAGTGATTCTCCTGCCTCAGACTCCGGAGTAGCTGGGATTACAGGTGCCTGCCACCATGCCTGGCTAAGTTTTGTATTTGTAATAGAGACAGGCCTTCACTGTGTTGGCGAGGCTTGGACTAGAAATCTTGACCTCGTGATCCGCCCGCCTTGGCCTCTCCACGTGCTGGGATTACAGGCGTGAGCCACTGTGCCCGGCCTCTTCTTCCATTTTGATACACAATCATGCATAGCTTAATGATGGAGATACATTTTGATAAGTGTGTGATTTGGTGATTTTATTGTGTAAGCATCATAGAGTGTACCTATACAAACCTAGATGGGCTTGTAATCCCAGCACTTTGGGAGGCCAAGGAGGGTGGATCACTTGAGGTCAGGAGTTCAAAACCAGCCTGGCCAACATGGTGAAACCCCACCTCTACTAAAAATACAAAAAAATTAGCTGGACCTGGTGGCTCATGCCTGTAATCCCAGTTACTCGGGAGGCTGAGGCAAATCGCTTGAGCCTGGGAGTTGGAGGTTGCAGTGAGCCAAAATCGTGCCATTGTACTCCATCCTGGGCAACAGAGGGAGACTCCGTCTCAAAAAAACAAAAAACAAAAAACACCTAGATGGTAGAGCCTACGACACACCTAAGCTATAAGCTATATGGTCTAGATGGTAGAGCCTACGACACACCTAAGCTATAAGCTATATGGTCTAGATGGCAGAGCCTACGACACACCTAAGCTATAAGCTATATGGTCTAGATGGTAGAGCCTATGACACACCTAAGCTATAAGCTATATGGTCTAACCTACTGCTCCTAGGCTACTAGCCTGTGCAGCATGTTACTGTACTGAATACTAGAGGAATTGTAACATATGGTAAGTATTTGTATATCTAAAAGGTACAGAGAGTGAGGTTTCTAAACTTGGAACTCCTACTCACTAAACCCTCATTCCCCTGCACACCATTTGCCCTTCAGCGTTTCTGTAAAGCCTCCTGCAAAGTTTGGAAAAGTGCCAGATTGGAGGACCAGATGCTTGCATTCCATTTGCACCTTACTAGCTGGCCAGTGGCAATTTACTTAACCATTGGGGACCTCAACTGCTTCGTGTTTGTTTATTTATTTTTTTGAGACAGGGTCTCACTCTGTCACCCAGGTTGGAGTGCAGTGGCATGATCATGGCTTGCTGCAGCCTCAACCTCCCCAGGCTCAGGTGACCTTCCTATCTCAACTTCCGACATAGCTGAGACCACAGGTGTGCATGACCATGCCCGGCTAATTTTTGTATTTTTTTTAGAGACGTGGTCTCACTGTGTTGCCCAGGCTGGTCTCGAACTCCTGGGTTCAAGCAATTGGCCCACCTCAGCCTCCCAAAGTGCTGGGATTATACAGGTAAGAGCCACTGCACCTGGCTTGCTTCATCTTTAAAAGAGGATAATAATGACTTTGCTAGGAGGGAGAGAGGCTACCTTGAGGTCATTTGTAGCATTAGGATTATAATAAGGTCTTAGAACACATGATTAACATGTGACAGGTCTATGGCTAAGGGGCAGACATTGTGATACAGGGGCTTGTATACTGGGTGATGCTGTAATTAGTGATTCCAGGGTGCTCTAGAACAGAAGCAATAGCCCTGGGGTGGTGGATATGCCAAATAAAGATATTCTTGCCCTCAGCCACAAAGTAAGAAACCAAGATTATGGTCACGTCAAGCTGCTCTTCTTTGTGTTTCATTGTCTAAATTATGTTTGAAAGGTAGAAGATGTTTTCAGACTAATATGTTAATGTACCTAAATGTAAGCTATTTTTCCCTTATGTAGAATCTTTTGCTGTTGTTATATATTTGACTATTACAGTGAAAATAATAAAAAGCACTGTTTATGTGAAACACAGCACCATCTTGCAGCCTACTGTTTGATTCTTTAACAAAAGATGTCTATTCTATAATGGTTGGGACTAGAAAGAGACAATTTCCATAAATTGTTGTTGTTTATTTAATGTCAGGTTTTTTTTTTTTTTCTGAGCTCTCAGCCTTCTGAGAAATCCTTCTAACAGATTCTTTTTGAAGCACAAATTAAACTTCTGACTCTCTTCAAAACAACATCCTAATCTAGCCCAAGCAATCAGTCACTTTTCTAAGTATTCAAATCCTAAATCAACTACTGACACTTTTTTTATAAAAATGAGAATAAAGCACGCCTAGTGACACTATTTTCAGTTCTCATTTTTTTCTCTAAAGATTTACATTTAGTCATGTAATTTCTCTTGATATTCACTTATTTTTATCTGCTTATTTGGAAGCGGAGTTTGTTTAAAGTCATGGAACTTTCCTGCTGGTGTTTTTCCACTATGATTTCTTTAAAAGCTGTAGATATCAAAAGTATATTAAGATAGCAACAAACATTACAGCTTTCAAAATTTATGGAGCTGTACATTGAATTTGGAGTTTAGTTTGTAGCTTGGTTGCAGCTGTCTTGCTTTTAGCTGCTCCTACTTGAGAACTCAGAATTCATTTGCTATGCTCTGGGTTAATATTTATGGAACAGATACATTCGACTGCTTACTTGTTAAGACCACTGCATTGTCTGAAGGAGAAATTGACAACTCTGCAACATCTTCCTCATTTTTCACAGGTGAGTAACGCACCAGGAAGTTGGTCAAATCAATGGATGGGGGTGGAGCCCAGGTGACACGCATGGTGTCTGGACCAATGTTGGTGAATCGCAGGTCAGTGGGAGGAGGAACAGCTGGTTTCGAACAAGAAGGAAGACTCATTTAATATAATTTTAAAATTAAAGCTAACGAAGTAGCTGGAAAGGTAAAACCAATATTTCATGCATAAAGGAAACAGAATCATAATCATGCAAACAGTCTAATCTAAATCTATTTTAAGTCATAGTGTACTACTGTTAAAAATAAAACACTACACACAGTACTGTTAGGCCCCCTTTAACCTTTTTGCCATCATCGATATATTTAAAAAAATAATTTTAATCTACTTTCAAATATGTTGACTTTATGTACATTATTAATACCACTGCAGATTATTTTATCCCAGGCTGAAGAGGCTTAAGTCGCCACACAGCAAAGAGAAACATAGCGGTACTTTACAAAGAAATACATGCACACAGACAAAAAGACAAGAGGGTCCTAAACTTCCCCCCATGTGAGATGTCTAGAGCTACAAGTCCATTCAGTGAATTCTACTTACAAGTGAAAAGTGTTCATGCAAATTGGTTCTCAGCATGTTTCTTTTCCCATGCACAGCAGAGAACCTTTAAAATGTTGCATGCATGTCCCCAGACTGTGGTTAAAGAGGTGTTTCTTTACCTAGTGACAGCAACGAAACCTAGAATGCTCCCAAATTTACTTTTCTCCTACCTCAAAACACTCTACCCTAAATTTTGATGGGTTTTTAGCTACAAAGAAGGAACATGGTAGAGTTTATCAAAGGGTAGAAGGAAGAGCATGATGGTACATTTTGGAGATATCTTTCTTATAATTAATTGGTGCTTATACAATTTGGTATTCGTGTTTGGTATTTAAGAAGAAAAATTCTAGGTCTCCAAATTGAATGAACATTTGCTATTTTATATTTAACAGAACAGACATCTGAATTTTTCTAGCTCTATATCTACTTGTGGTTTAAATGAGAGTGTACTGAAGAATACTTGCATATGTTTAGCAGATGCATTTGATTCCTTATCCCCATAGTCCACCCTGTCTTAATCTTTGGCCAACTGCTGACTTCCCCCTTAAAACATCCATATTTAACCAGAGTAACTGGTGGCAGCATGCAACACCATCTATGTCTCAAACACAGAAGTTTTCGAAATTCACCCGTTTGTTGTGTCAGTGTAGTAGGGGCACTCTCGCCGCCATTAATGAGAGTGATAACGCTGATATCATAGTCAATGCCCGGCTCCAGCCCTGTGACTGTGTAGTATCCTACTGAGGAGTCCACAAAATCTTCAAAAATAGGGATACCTTCTCCTGCCGCAACTACTGTGATGCGGTACCCAATAATGGTGGAAGAGTTTAGCGGGGTCCACCTCAGGCCGATGCTTGAATCGGTTATATCAACAAAGCTTAGGTCAGTGAGTTGGGGCACCTCTATTGAGTTACAAAGCAAAGGGGGTGGGGGGCAAAAGGAAAATAGAGGCAAAAAAAGAGGAAAAAATAAAGCAGTGTATATCAGGTTACCAGTAGTAACATTGATGGAATGTTAAAGCAATGATGGTAATATGCAATCTGTTTTAAATTCTCTGAAAAGACTTCCTAAGCATCATGAACAGTTTGCTTCCCTGGAAGAATAAAACAGGTTACAATATTCTTTTAGGGATTTTTTTGTTTGTTTGTTTTGTTTTGTTTTTGTTTTTGTTTTTGCATTTTGAAAATGTCCTTAAAGGGTACAATTTGAACTGTTCAGATTCCTAAAAATCATATGCCTGTTTAGGATGTCAAAACCATTCTTAGAGCCTAGACATAGTATCTGAAGTAAGCATCAGCAATGTTTAATAAGTATCTGAAATAAGTGTATGAAGTAAGTATCAGTATTATTTAATAATTCCAAAACTGTTTTAGTAGAAAATAAGCTTGCATGAAGAAGGTTAAAAAATAATAATAATTAGGTGATAAATTGATATTTTTTCTCCCATACAAAATTCATGACAATATCATCGCCATAATGCTAATGCATTATGAATGTATGGTGTGAAATGTGCCATTCAAAAGCACATCGAGGCTTAGGAAAGAGGCTTAAGGTCAAGGCCATTGCCACTATTTTAGTTCATTTATAATCAACATATGTAATTAGCGTTAGTAAAAGCATTCTTCTGAAGAGTCCAAAGGGGGACACAACTGTCCAATGCTTTCATTCTGTTATAACCCAATGGACAAACAAGCCTATCCTTAGACAGGCCTTTACAATGTTGTCTTTCAAGCCACAACAAAGAACACCCTGAAGGTGTGGCTTTTACTTCTTTTTTTTTTTAATCCAATTTTTAAAAAGAAGGATTTGAAACTGCAAGATGAAAAACTGGACGTGTCAACCAAATGCTGTTCCCGTGCTCACATACGAGGACAAAACTATTTTATAGGCAGCTGTTGGAAATTGATACGGACTGTAAAATCAGGCAGAAATGTACCGATGGGATGCATTTACCATATTACTTTGAGCCTGTCAGTACTGAGTACAGACACGTGACAGTGTTTTAGTCATACTTCCATGTGAGCGGACATTACAGAGTTAAAGCCGTGGCTGCCACTCCATTACATACTCGCTGCAACACACAGCATCCCAGTGAAGCACAGACAGTAAAGCAGTGTTAACAGCAAGCATTTGTCCAAATCGCTGCTTTGACTTCTTGGTTTTGGAGAGTGCAGCTGGGAGATCGGAATTAAATCCCAACTATATTTGACACCCTTAACCGTCTAGGGATTAAGGTGCTAATCCCCACTCTTATTGGAAGTGCCACTCTCAGGATAGCAGCTTATTTTTCTATTACCTGGGATGATGGTATCAGAGATAGGGACACTTTCCTTGTCATCCTTGACAGTGTAAACACTGACATTGTACTCCAGGCCGGGACTCAGGTTATCAAAAGTGCAGGAGCTCTGATCAGCATGGACCACTTCTTCCAAAGAATATCCCTGCTGGCCGTTTGTAGGGGTTGTGGTAATTCTATAACCAGTAATGTCTGGAGGAAAAAGAAAAGAGGAAGTTATTGCACAGAGCATCTGTGAGCCAGAGCATATTTAACTAGACTCCAATGACGGACTCACAGAGCAGAATGCAGAAGGACTTGGCATTTGCTGAGGACTCCACTGTCACTGTCTTTCAATGCTTGCAACAATCCTTTCAGGCAGTACTAAGATCCTCACTTTATTTTATTTTTTGTTTTTATTTTTTGAGACACAGTCTCCCTCTATCACCCAGGCTGGAGTGCAGCGGCACGATCTTGGCTCACTTCAACCTCTGCCAAGATCCTCACTTTAAAGGAAATTTTGAACCAGGGGAGTGATTCCCAAAAGCTTTCATTTCCAAATCCCATGGTCCTACCACTGTACCCTGCTTTTCCTTAATGAATCATTTGAAGACAGCTGAGGAATATTCCTTTCTACCTGCCTAGTATGGAATCACTCTCAACCTTAAGCACATTCCTCAGAGAGCTCTCCTAATTTAAAAGGTCTGAAACTATGGGATTTATAGGAAGAGAACCAAGAAAGGAGAAAAGGCGAAAAACAAAAGTAGTGATACTTATTCTATAAAGAGTATTGATTGGGAGGTTGAGGCAGGCAGATCACCTAAGGTTGGGAGTTCAACACCAGCCTGGCCAACATGGTAAAACCCCATCTCTACTAAAAATACAAAAATTAGCTGGACGTGGTGGGGCATGTCTGTGGTCCCAGCTACTCGGAAGGCTGAGTCACGACAGTTGCTTGAGCCCAGGAGGCGTAGGTTGCAGTGAGTCGAGATGGCACCACTGCACTCCAAGCCTGGGTGACAGAGCGAGACTCTGTCTCAAAAAAAAAAAAAAAAAAAAAAAAAAAAAAAAGAGAGTATTGATTGTTGAAGTCTTCAGGAATCATAGAAATTGGGCAGTAAAAGAGTTGAGGGGGATGAGAGATATTCAAATAAAAACAGTGAGGACTAGAGAGCTATAGAGCCAGATTAAAAGTAAAATGAGAAAGTATATTAAACTTTATAAAAGGCAAGGAGATGACAGAATTTCATTTGCCATTAGGAACAGGGTAAACACTAATGTGGCAAATACAAGGAAACCCAACTGAATGAGAAATAAATATTGAGATCATTACACTTGCTAGTGATCATCCAAATGTGTGGGCTGGGTCATTGAGACAAGGTATGAATGATCCTGCTGCTAACAAGCGTGAAGCTTGCCAACTGAAAGTTTCAGATTCGGAGCAACTCAGCTGGAAATTGTATAGCTTTGGCTTAAACGATGTTTCCGCAGATAATGAAAACTTTACCAAAATCATTCTACTTCAGAGAGAGATTAAAAGAGATATTGTGAGCTAGTTTTTTTCTGTGTGGTTGCATACATTAATCAGACTTAGAGATGATAGCCTTAGCTCTGTGCCCTGGCAAAGATAAGAACTATACAGTACTTTTTTTTCTAACAAAAATTTCACAATAATTTAACAGTAAAATTAGAAATAGCTAAGGAATAAACTAAACATATCCCTTAAATTAACAAATATAGGAGGTTAGAATGCAATCAACATTAATTGGAACTTCTATTTTTGTTTAAGATTTTTCTCCATAAGTTTTGTGAGACTTCCATGCGGTTTTGGCAAAAGTAATGAATATCTAAAATTTCCTGTTATTGCCATAGTACATCGTGCTATTTGACTATTATTACAGCTATCTTTATACATTTTAGCATTTTGTAAATAATTTTCAAATATATATGAACAAGGAATTTAGACAAATGCTTCATTTAAAGCTTTAAAAATGGTCAAGAAACCCCTTAATCAAATTTTTCAGTTTGCATAGAATATAATTTTAAAAAATTACATTCCAAATATGTGATGTTGGGTGTGAGAAGGAGTCTACAAACTTAAGTTACAATCCCAGTTTTGTAACATTTAAAATGTGTGACTATGAGTAGGCCAATTTTTTCTAAGTCTCAGTTTTCTTATTCTGTAAAACGAAGGTATTTCTGCCTTTCATCACCCTTAAATATTTGTGGTGCAACTTATGACAAAACATTCATAAAACTTCAAGGAATAATAAACTTAGGCTCTGTAACAACTCACAAAAGGGAAATTACATAATATGACTTCAGCCATTTGTTTGGCACTTTTTAATGCACTCAGCAAAAGGCACCTTCCACAGCGCTTTTCTTCAGCCCTACAGCTGTGTGAGGATCTGCCTTGTCCCCCTAGACTAGGGTAAGATTGTTCTGTTTCCTGTGATTGAAGTCAACATGGATTAAAGCATCCTGCAGGCTGCCCCATGATGTACGTCATGTACTGCTATAGTCTGTATGGAGAGCTGAGCATTTGTAATTTGAATCCTTTCTTTGTCTGAAAGAAACAGTTTCTAAAATCTTTGTCTTGGGAAGGTATGGTGTATACTTGCCCTGTGATCCATCCCAGACTTACCTGGGGTGGTACTCCTCTCCCAGGAGACTGTGAGCACTCCAGTGTCAGGGTTTGTCTCCAGATGCAAGTTTGTTGGTGGAGACAATGCTACGGAGAAAGAAAATTTTAAAAGTTAAAGCTGACACAAAGCTCTTGACCTGTGTAATCTTTCCTCCTTCCCTACCTCCCTCTCTTCCACGCTTCTTGCCTCCCTCCCTCCCATATAAATATAGGTCACGTTATGAAAACATGATGGACAGCAGCAGTTCTCTGACAAGACTTTTCTTATGATTAATGATTTTGCAATACTATTGAAATTATTTTCATCTCGCCTGTTCATAAATATTCTTGACATGGAAGGAACATTTCTGATGCCATAAAATATAAAGCATGAATTGAACCTGCTACTCCAAATTCAGGAATAGCATTAATAATTTAAGTAAGGATGAGATATCTCCCCTGTGCCATTCTCATAAGTAAAAAGTGATATTGACACTAGATTTTTTCAAAAAGTGGAACAGTTTTAAAAACTAATAGAAAAGGGAAAAAGAGTTCTTCTTACGTGTCACCACTTTGTTTACAATTGGCGCATCTCTTTCCTGTCCGTCTCTCAGGACTTGGATGGTGTAGACATATTCCACTCCTGGAGTCAAGCCAGACACAACGATGCTTCCTGAGTCTGAAGTCACTTCTCGTGGTGCCTCTCCTCCCTGGCTTGGTCGTACACCCAGCTAGAGGAAGGAAAGCAAAATAAACACCAAGGACGAATATTTCCAGAGGCCTGTTACTGCTGTGAGGTTGTGATTATGCTTTAAATAGCGTAAACTCTTCAGAAACTGCACAATGTACTTTTATTAGGAAATGATTTGGGGACTCTTTTATATACTTTAGCTGGAAATTCCCCAAGGTGGGGAAGGTATCTTCCAAACTGCATTAAGGTGGATTATTACGGAAGGTTCCAGAGAAATGTCATTACATACTGTTTTGCTTGATAAAGAATCTCTTGTTACAAACCAGACATACCCAGGGACTGTGGGCCACATGGTATTTTGTTTCTATTTTTCTGTGTGTGTGCTGGAAGGAATGTTTGAGCTCTCCCTTTAACAAGTTATTCACATTCAATTCACCTTTTAGTTGCCATATAAAGGCACTAGCCCCTGTAGCAACTGTATTGCAAAAACACACCTTTCGAAGAGCTATGTTCATAGCTTCAACTGCAGGATGATACATTACAAGAGAAGAATTAGAATAACTATGCCCGTAATTTAAAATCCTTTTAAGATCCTTTTTCAAAAACTCAGGTAACACTGTGCTATCAAATAGTGTCCAACTCTAAAGAGATCCTTCACACACCATAAGGCTTCTGAAAGTCAGCATGACATTCAGGGAATTTAAAAGGTATACTGGCAATCTTCAAAAAGTTCCTCTATATTTGAGTAGCATAATCATACGTATGGCCATTCATATACTTTATCTTTGGTGTATTTTTTTAAATAATCAAGGGGATTGAGTCATGATTTCCAGCGATAACAAATATTTCTGTCTTCACACTAAATGCCAAAGAATGGAATTCTTTTAAACATATTCATTTGTATTCATCACTTCCCTAATATCATTACTTTAAAGAAGATGAATCCAGATATCCACAGGGAAACCTTAATCTTAACTTCTATTAAGAGATTTACCCGCAGCGCTTTGAACAGTTGGAGATGAAACTGATTGGATGAAAATGCGATTTTTAAGTGACTCTGAGTTTAACTGATCTCCCTAAATTGGCTTTTGTGAACTTGTTCACACCCATTTAGAATGACACATCAAATAAAGTTTTCCTATGTTTTTTTGAAATGTAGTTCCCTGCGGGAAAGGATAGAGAAAATAAGATAACAACAAGCAGCAGCTTCGTGCTAATGTTTTATCCTTAGAAAAGCACTTTCATAGCCTCCATCCATTCTTGGAACAATTCAGTGAGGTAGGCAGGGAAGGATTGTTAGGCCCTGACAATGTAGTCAAAGATGTATGAACAGAAGCAGGTGGCAAAACCCAGGTCTCCTGACTCCTGAGCACCCTGTTTCCACTACATGGGAAACACAAGGACAGCTCAGGGCTGTATCACAGAGATTAGAAACATGGGCAGTTTACCTTAAAACCAATTCTTGGAGCAGGTGTCCATGTGATCACAATGGTGGTCTCGGTCACCTCCGTGTTGTAAGGTGGAATGGAGCTCCCAGGCTGCACTGTGAGAGAGAATCAATACACGTTTTCAAAACTTAAGATCACAGATGATTTCATAGAATAGAGATAACAAGTATCTTTATAGAGAACCTCAGTTTAACCAAGCAGTGGATAGAGAATGTAACATATTTTTTCATTGGGTGAGAATTGGGAGAGGATCAGGCTTCTCAATCTTTAATGTGCCACACACATCATCTGGGTCTGGCTAAAATGCAGATTCTGTTTCTGGAGGTCTAACAAAGAACTAGGGAGTTCGCATTTCTGACAAACACAGATAATACCGATTCTGTTGGCCCATGAATTATACCTGAGTAACAAGGGGTTAAATATTCGCTAAGGCAGTCTTTTCAATGAAATTATATAATCTAATTCATGTCTTTCCATCATTGTTGGGATTTGAGTTTTATGACAATAAATTTCCCTATATCGTCAGTGTAAAATCCCTTATAAAATGTACAACTGGCCACCACAAACTGATTATCGTATTGTTTCTTAATCATTAATTTAAGAACAGTGGTAAATTATAGATGGTGATCTAAAAACAGTTTTATGCTGGGCAGGGATTGGTGGCTCATGCCTGTAATCCCAGCACTCTGGGAGGCTGAGGTGGGCAGATCATTTGAGGTCAGGAGTTCGAGACCAGCCTTGCCAACATGGTGAAACCCTGTCTCTACTAAAAATATGAAAAATTAGCCGGTCATGGTGGCTCGTGCCTGTAGTCCCAGCTGCTGGGGAGGCTGAGACACAAGAATCACTTGAACCCTGGAGGTAGAGGTTGCAGTGAGCCGAGATCATGCCATTGCACTCCAGCCTGGGTGACAGAATGAGATTCCATCTCAAAAAAAGAAAAAAAAAAAAAAAAGCTTTATGCTGAATTATTCCACAATAATGGTCAACTATTTTTGGTTGCAGTAAAACATGCTATATAAAAGTTAAACAAAATCTGCCACCATGGATGCACTTTGAAGTCTAAAGATTTGTACTTTAAATATGTGATTATTTATTCAGAATAATAACACTGCAAAAATTTAGTATTTTATCACCAGAATCAGGAATCATAACAAGTTTGTTTTGCATTTTCTAGCATCTTGACATCACTGTTCTTTTTCTTATCGAAAATATTACTTTGGCTGGGTACAGTGGCTCATGCCTGTTATCCCAGCACTTTGGGAGGCTGACGTGGGTGGATCACTTGAGGCCAGGAACTCAAGACCAGCCTGGCCAACATGGGGAAACCTCATCTGTACTAAAAATATAAAAAGTAGCCAGGTATGGTGGTAGATGCCTGTAATCCTAGCTGCTTGGGAGGCTGAGGCAGGAGAATCACTTGAACCTGGGAGACAGAGGTTGCAGTGAGCCAAGATCACACCACTGCACTCCAGCCAGGGCGAGAGAGCAAGACTCCATCTCAAAATAAATAAATAAATAAATAAAATAAAATAAAATAAAATAAAATAAAATATTACTTAAACAAATTTTTATTTTTATTTTTTGAGATGGACTCTTGCTCTGTCACCCAGGCTAGAGTGCAGTGGCACAATCTCATCTCACTGTGACCTCGGTCTCCTGGGTTCAAGTGATTCTCCTGCCTCAGACTCCCATAGCTGGGACTATAGGTGCCTGCCACCACACCCAGCTAATTTTTGTATTTTTAGCAGAGACGGGGTTTCACTATGTTGGGCAGGCCAGTCTCAAACTCCTGACCTCAGGTGATCTGCCCACCTTGGCCTCCCAAAGTGCTGGAATTACAGGCATGAGCCATCGCACCTGGCCAAAAATTAAAAAAAAAATTTTTTTTTTAAATCTTCTTTTTAAATACAAGATTTGTTTTCGGTTTTAGCACCAAAAATGAAAGAAAGAGAGAGAGAGAAAGAAAGAGAAAGAAAAGAAAGAAGGAAGAAAGGACGGAAGGAAGGAAAGGAAGGAAGGGAAGGAAGGAAGGAAGGAAGGAAGGAAGGAAGGAAGGAAGGAAGGAAGGAAGGAAGGAAGGAAGGAAGGAAGGAAGGGAGGAAAGAATGTATATATGAAGTTAAGATAGAGCTTTCTAACAACCTCACAAATCTTATTATAAATTTAGAAAGGTAAAGTCACAGAAGGCCATATATTTTGAGTTGGGTAAGTTAAGTTCAAGGGTATCAAGTGTGTGAGTAGCCCTGGTCACATGTTTGATATCTCCACAATTCTTCCTCTCTTTGCATCTCAATCAAATTTTGTTCCCCTTTACATCTCAATCAAATTTTGTTCCCATTGGGAAAAAAACCTCCGAATGTATTTATACTAAATTATGAATGGCTGGCAAGACAAAGAATTAGTCTCCAGAGTTATACAAACAGGGATTAAAAAGTGTTCAGACTCCAGTCTCAACTCAACTCCAGTCAATTTTTTTTTCTTTGCCATGTGGGAATTTAGAATCAACATCGCAATTCTCGCATTTCTTTTTCAGTCTGGATTCTAAGGAGCCATTTTTTTATTTTAAAAATATTGTGTGAGAAAAAGCCAAAGATATATGTGGGCCACTTCATAATGATAGCTCTAATGGCTGAATTGAGGTACTACTGGTTTAGTGGGCTGTTTCATCTATGTATGTTATTATTTTGATGGTGTTTGGTGGGGGTTGGGGGAACATGACTGGGATGGGTGACCCCGATGCCTTTTAGTACCTCTGAAATTATACACCACTTGGCTGCTGCTGACTCTGCCAAAATGCCATGACAGCCCTGTGTGACCATTTTTTAATGGCCCACGAAAAGCAATTCAGAGAACAGTCAGTTTCTTTCACTGAACATCTGTGAAAACCACAACTTTTTTACAAATTATATTTGCCTCAACTGTCCTGGGCTTTAAGACTAGGTATTTTCTATTGCTTGAGCCAGCCAGCTAGAGTCTTCCCAAGTTTAAGATGATGCTCTCTGCCTGGGAAGGCCATTATGGGAAAATCACCAAACCACAAACCCACAAACGATGTCAAACAAAGGATGTGATTCTGAGTGTGAGCTATGGGTTCTGGCAGGTCTTGTTAGGGAAGAAAGCCCAGCTGTTAAAGAAATAAAATTTGCCCTATCAATACAGGAATAAGCTGAATTTTCCCCAGAAACAGCTTTTTCCCGTAACTTTTCTCACATTCGCTCTTAAGAATTTAGCACAAGTTATAAAACTCAGAAAAGTTACTCCCAGAATTCAGCTTAGTAAGACAGTAAAAAAGTTACAGAAACTTAGTAATTTCAAAACCATGCAAGCCTTGAGGATGTTTACAACCTTAAGGAGTACTTAAAGTTCAAATGGAGTTGTAGAATACCCTGCTTACATTAGTTTATTTAAATATAAGCTTCGTTGAACTGTTTTTGTTATTATTCCTTTCTCAATCATCTATTCACCAAGTATTTTTTGAAAGCATACAATGTTCCAGACACGATGTTAAACTTTATCTAATAAAATTACTTTTGGCTATTAGTACTTCAATTAAAATAATTATATTTTATATGAATCTATTATGCAAAGCATAAAATAATATATCCAATATATCAAAGTCTTCAGAAGTACTTGAAATATCTTGACCCACCACCTTCCCTTAATTATTGTTAGCATCATTAAAAATGCTTTTTCTTTCTTCAGCACTGTGTTCAACCAAAGAAACTACATAAAATATGCCTTATGTTAAGGAATGAACAAGACAACTATAGAATTCTACATTTTAGTAAAAGACAACATCTACTGAAAGGGCACCTTCACTGAAATCTCCATTCTAATCCACTGAAGGACATTTATAACAAATGAATATTTACAAGAAATATAAAGACATTAATTTCATGAGAGTAGATCTTAGACTATCTTAGAACCGTGTAAAATTTTAGCCAAATTTTCAGGTAAGCTTATTTGCAAATTAAAAATGAATTTTACTTGCTTACGATTAACTATTATTTAGGAAAAGGGCCAAATTTCATACAGTAAATTTAAATGGAAGTAAGTTTTCCTTAAAGTATGTATTTTTATGGGGAAAAGTTTATATTTTCTTTGGGAAATCAATTCCATAGTTATTTACAAACTAGGCTTCTATTGACTTTTTGAATGCTTTTTAACATCCATACTTTTAAATTAGTCGAAGAGTAACATTTGTTGAAGGCTCTTAGAAAATTGCAAACTAGTCCATGGTTACAATATATGCTAAAAAAGTGCTTATGTTAGGTGCTTCTATAATTCAAAACGTCAAGTTGAAAATAACAAATAATGTTCAGCCAGAAATAAGGAGTCTCATAATTCTCTGTAATGTAAATGGAAATGTATTTAATAGAAATCAGTTTGTGAATAGAGGTCTTTATTGTGATGTAGATATGTGGGAGATTTAAGACCACTTCCTTTAAAATGTTGAGCAAAAGGACAGACGTGGCCAAAAATTATTGTTAGTATTTTCCTCCTCTGAGGAATTTCAAGAGTAATTTAAGAAAAAAGCGATTCTGTCTGCAAAAGTACTTTAATCTTCTGCAGCCAACACTCATAAAGAAATCATTTCCCTGGCTTCATGTTCAATTAGTTGGTTCCCATTCAACCTGTAGATATTTTTATTCTGCATTCATAGTTACTATTCAATGCCCAAAGTAATAGAATATAGACATAGGTGCTAATTTTTTCTTGCCTTAACTAGTATTTGGTAAATTCATTTAATGTAATAGAATTTAATTTTTGTAATAACAGAGTGCTTTAAACCCATGTTACTCAAAGTGCTGGCTCTAGAGGAAAGAAAGAGCTTGGCAATGTATGCGAATTAACGCACTGCTTCCTTCAAGAAAATCTGGCTTCAGAAAAATTCTCAGCTCTACTAAGCAGTGTGCTTTGTGATTTACATTCTGGCACAACTCTTTTTCTTGTTGCAGACTAGCAGCAAACAATTAACGGGCCAGCAGCCAGTCTACGGAGCACATTTTTAGTATCACTGATTTAAATATATACTAACTTTTTAATGTTTTTTTTTGGGGGGCCGTTGTTTTGTTTTTTTGTAAAGCATGAAGAATAGAGAATGTAAATATAGTTAAGAAAAGGCATTTAATTTTCGGCTTACGTGTGGTAAAGACTCCAGTGGCTTTGGGGCTCTCTTGGTTGCCCTTTATGGCCACAAGGGATACGGTGTACTCTGATCCAGGCTGCAGATTCCTCAGTGGGTACTTCGAGACAGAGGGACCCACATTGTACTGCCTGGGCTGGCCTCTTCGGGTCAGGCCCACAGTCAGTCGGTATCCTGTTATCCGGGCCCGAGGTGGAGTCCATCTCACCAGGACAGTAGAATCCGTTTCATTGACAAACTGGAGGTTAGTGGGAGCATCCAGTTCTAGGAAAAAAGATGAAACATGCCAAGAAATATTTAGATCAGTAATGATCATAACTCAAGTCCTGAAGCTTGATTGAATGTCTAAGTTTTCTCTCCTCAAGGTTGCAACTATGTGAAAGTCAGAACCCCGGAAAAACTGAGCCAGTAAGAGATTGAGTGCTACATAGAACTTTGCCAAAACTCTGCCAGTCATGAGAAATTGTGGAACCATTTTGCTTGACTGTGATCCTTCGGGAAGTCTAATGTTCCAGCATGACCTTCCCATCACTCTCAGAAATTATAGTTACATTAAAGCAATGGTATTTTTAAAAAGGCAAAACAAACACTTCTGAACTTCACAGGTTGCTCTGAGCCAAACAGATTAAGGAAAAAGGGATATGCCTCCTAAAATGACAGCAAGAAGAAGCTCTCTATGGGTCAGAAGCAATATTCTGTGAAGAGTCCCTGCTAGAGAAATAAAAGTTATTTTCACATGGTTCAGATTAGACAGTAATTACAGTAATGATAACATATCCTCAGATTCATGGTAGGATACTGGTGAGTTTGCACTATCAGAATCACATAAGTTGTGGAGTTTATTCTTAAGAATAATAACCAGCAGTTTTCCCACCGAAATTTAAATTACATTTCAAATAGAGGAAATATTTAAGAGGCAGTCAAGTATAATAATTCAGAGCATGGGCTTTGGACATAGGTTATAGAGCCAGCTCTATCCATTCCTATCTCTGTGACCCTACAAGTTCCAGAATTTTTTTAAAGCCTCAGTTTCTTTATGTATTCAATATGGATACTAGTAAGACCTTCCAGCTGGGCACGATGGCTCATGCCTGTAATCCTAGCACTTTGGGAGGCCAAGGTGGGTGGATCACTTGAGGTCAGGAGTTTGAGACCAGCCTGGCCAACATAGTGAAACCTGTTTCTACTAAAAATACAAAAATTAGCAGGGCATGGTAGCGCATGCCTGTAGTCCCAGCTACTTGGGAGGCTGAGGCAAGAGAATCGCTTGAACCCAGGAGGTGGAGGTTGCAGTGAGCTGAGACTGCGCCACTACTGTCCAGCCCTGGCGACAGAGCGAGACTCCATCTCAAAAAAATAAAAAATAATAATAATAATAAGACCTTCCTTCCTAAGGTCAAAACAGAGAGTAAATATGAGAATAATGCTTGTAAAAACTGAGCAGATAAGCTGGTGGCTAGTAATACTAGATACTTGACAATTGCTATTCTTAAATGAATTCTACTGTGTTACGATCCTGCATTTTAACTTTGATCTAGATATATTTAGTTACAGGAAAAATGCACTCAAATTAGATTCTCTTCAGTTCTCCCTCTTAGTACCCTTCAGCTGATACATGTATTTTAGAAATGGGTTACCACTTAGCCTCATGGAGCTTGTTTGAGTTTTGTTTTCAAGTTTAATGTGCTTTGTGTTCACTATGCATTCCCTTGCCGGCTGGGTATTTCCCTCTCTCTAAGCCATACACCTCTGAGTCAATGGTTTGCTGCACTTCCTCACGGGCTGGAAGTGAGGGTGGAGAATTTGGAGGGGAGGTAAAGATAGGAAAAGACATACTGGTTGTCTGTTCGGCAGTCAGAGGCTTGCTCTCCCTCCCGTGGTTCACGGCAAAGACTTTGAAGTAATAGGTGACCCCAGGGGACAGCCCGGTGACTTCTGCGAAGGTGTTCCTGCTGATGGGCAACCTCTGCCCGTGCTCCCCAGGCAGGTTGACGGGGATCACATCCACGCGGTAGCCAGTCACTGCACTCTCAGGCGGTGTCCACATGATGGTGACCTTCACGTCTGTCACTTCCACAAACTGCAGGTCCCTGGGAGAGGGCACTGTATCTGACAGACAAGAGTCAACCAGTCATTCACATTTTCTGCTGAAGATTATTTTTAAGAAGCCAGTTTCTCGGATATGATAGGCAGTTCACTGAGCCTCTCATTCGAGAGTTTTGCTAAGTTTTGTCTCTTAATCAGATCATATTTTCATGGCCCCGTCATAGTGCTTAAATTATGACATTTGAACCTTTTGTCTAAAATAGTTAGGTAATAAATGAGTTACCAGCATATGAAGTGTCATATGATGGTGAGGGGAGAGGGTTATAAGAAAAGATACTAAAAAACAAAACAAAACAAACAAAAACCTTTGAAATAACTGCAGAAAATAATGTAATGGTTTTTGTTTTACTGAATCATTTTATAATACTTAAGAATCAAAGATGAAATGACCCTTGAGCTTCTGGGAGAAAATTTGTAGACGGACGTTATGGTGTTGGTTTTTAATAAGAAAGGCCAGTAGCCAGCTTTGATAAGTTACTTATGACATTTCAGCTAAACATCAGAAGTTTAGGGAAAAACTATTGCATAAGATTATTTGAATGTGGGAACTATTGACAGAGACAAAACCACCCCCCCTCAGGAACAATCTTGATAACATAACATAGGAAGTGTCTTCTTAAAAAAGTTACCTGAACGTGGGGTGCCAGTGGTTTCTTGTTGAATGAAAACAGGTGTACTTTCTTGATTTTCTTCCACGGCAAAGATAGTGATGTTATACTGAACGCCAGGTTGCAAGTCACTGAGGGTGACGGAGTTTGCAGTTTCAGGAAGGTTGAGTTCTGTGCTGCTGCCTTCTACTGACGGTGAATAGACTATTCTGTACCCTGCAGATGGATCAACAAAAGTTAAGATGCACTGTTTTCTTTGAGACCGAGGCTTAGAAACACCATAAATCCTCCCTTTTCGAATATTCCTTAGCATCTTGCTTGATTAGTGAAGAGCCAGTGATTCTTTTTGACTCTTTTAATATTGCCACTTCTTGTAATAATGACTACTCAGCACGAAGATAAAATAAGAACAGTCATGCAAACCTTGTTAATAATAAATGTCATCCTTGAAGACCTGAGATCCTTAATAAATGTCAATTAGAGATGCCATTAGGTGAAAATATTCATGTTAAGCTGATTTTTCCTCTTTGAGCTCCAGATGAGGGAAGCAATTAATGAACCAGCCTGAGCAGAGTTGTCTAGCACTGTGTGTGTCTTTTTGGAACTTCAGTGATGAGGCAGTTGAATCACCTAATGAGCTAAGAAGGCAGCTCAGCTTTCTCCTTAAGGATAAATCTTAGAGCAAGGTTTTCAGGAAAATTACACCTCTTCAACCCTGGGAACACTTGCTTTAATAAGCCAATGAGCTGGCTTTACAGGTTGTGTGTATGTTGTGGTGTGTGTGTATAAGGGAGTTGGTAAAATGGTTTCGAGGGGAAATGTGCCATAGAAAATAACTCCCCCCGACACACACACACACACACACACACACACACACACACACACCTCTCTCCCATAAATTATATTGGAGATTTAAAGTGATATGCAGATCCACAGTCAGAATCTGCGCCCTCCCTGTTGATGTCATTAAGATTAACATAGCAGCCAAAGAGCGGGAGGCTCAGCTGACCTGTGATGGGAGCCTGGGGTCTGCTCCAGCGAACAACAATTGAGGTGTCATCAACTTGGTCCACAGTCGGGTCAGGAGGGGCATCGGGCGCTAAGAAAGAAAGAAAGTGGGGCAAACAGTCAGGAAGTGCTACTACAGGCCTGTGTTTTACAGAAAAAGATTCTTTTAACATTATGTAGCACACAGGTACCTGTTGTTTGTGAAGTAGACAGGATCAAACTCTGCTCCCCATCCTCAGATATCTCATAGACATTTACAATGTATTTTCGGCCAGGAAGCAGGTCAGGGATGTTCACGGAAGTGGCTGTGCTTGGAAGATCTTTGAAATGAAAAGACAAGGTAACTAATCGGAGCAAATTAGTCCCTCAAATGACTCTACAGCTTAGAAGAAGGATATTTTAAGAACTATATATTCATAGGGAAAAATGACTGAAGGTAATGTGCTAATAGATAATCAGTGATTATTATTTTTACGGAGTCTTGCTGTGTTGCCCAGGCTGGAGTGCAGTGGTGCGATCTCAGCTCACTGCATCCTCCACCTTTCGGGTTCAAGCAATTCTTCTGCCTCAGCCTCCTGAGTAGCTGGGATTACAGGTGCACACCACAACACCTGGCTAATTTTTTTGTATTTTTATTAGAGACAGAGTTTCACCATGTTGACCAGGCTGATCTCGAACTCCTGGCCTCAAGTGATCCACCAGCCTTGGCTTCCCAAAGTGCTGGGATTATAGGAGTGAGCCACTGCACCCCGCGTAATCAGTGATTATTAATGTACTATGGGAAAACCCCACTCCTTGTCTTTCTCCTTTCTCCTCTTCCTCCTTCCTTTCATTTTTCCAACTTTTTCTCTAAAGATGTGTAACTTTTGTAATCTAATGCCAAATTTTTAAAAATAGCTCTCTGCAGTAAGAAGTCAGGGTAGTGATTATTGGTGGAAGATGATGTGGTCAGGATAGACAGATATTCTTTTTCTTGATCCGGGTGCTGGTCTTGTGGTGTGTTCACTTTATAAGAATTCAAATTCACTGAACTCAGTGCTTACGATTGGCACACACTTCAGTGTGCTGATAAAGTTTTTTAAAGGCCCCTCACCATAACTATTTGAAAAGTATGAGTGATGATACTGTGCTAACATTGTCAGCTGCAGTCCTGGTAATTACTTCCACCAAGAAAACAGCTTTTGCTGTAGAAACTTGTGCCCAGGTAGGCACATGATGCAGCTGGCATCAGGGACCAGGAACATGTGAGGGTGGCTTGGGAAAAACCCGGCCACTTCCTAGAAAGAGTCAGTCCTTTCCTTCCTCATGCCGAAGGCTGGTTTGTTCAGTCTGAGCTGTCAGCCAGTTCCAGACCACAGATACCACCTGCCTAGAGGCCCCTCCCAGTGAGAGTTTTCCAGCAGCTGCCCCAAACCGGTCTTGAGCGACATATTGCGCTTACCCAGATACTGTGGCTCGTCTCCCTCCTCACTCAGCTCATATTCCACCCGGAATCCTGACACAGTGTCGGAAGCTGAGACCCAGGAGACCACAAAGCTGCTGGCTGTGATTTCAGTGACAGATTCAGAAGTGGCCACAAGGGGAGAAAGGGGAGTTGTCTCTCCTGTCACGGTGTTGCCTAGAGAGTCACAGAAAGGGGAAAGTCAGCCTTCAGCCTTCTAGAAAATGTACCGTCCTTGCTGCCAACATCATTTTTAAAAATGTTGGTGCCCCTCATGGAAGAATATGAATTGAGAAGGAAAGCACTTCCTCAGGAGAGCTCAGCTCCAGGAACCTTGGGCATAGGAGGCGTGAGGGTGGTTGTGTACGTACTGGTCACAGGTGTGCTGGTGCTGGTGGTGGTGAAGTCAAAGCGAGTCACTTCTCGGTGGCCGTACTGCTGGATGCTGATGAGCTGGCCCTCGTATACCACACCAGGCTTCAGGCCTTTGATGGTGTAGGAGTTTAAGTGGCCTGGTATGGTAGCTTCCTTCCAACGGCCTACAGAATTTTTCTGAAAATTTAAATAAACACACACACACACAAGTGTTTACAAGGATGAACATTTGAAGATGATGTTCAGTAATCTTCAGAGAAGAATGACATAGGCAGGACTTAGGCAGCTCCATTCCAGAGGCACATCATGGAAAACTGGATTCCCAATGGTTATATAGTTAGGTATAGTTAGATATAATGCTAACTATTGTTCACATAGTTAACACATGATGCTAACTACTGTTAACATCAACAAACTGCTGCAATTTACTTACTAATACCCATTCTCTGTGCTATTTACCTACATTCTCCCATTTAGTCTCCATATCCTCCTGATGGTGAGGCAATGGCATTGTTGCTCCCATTTTACAGATGGAGAAACAGAGTGATATGTGATATGTCCGGGGTGACATAGTTGCAGACACTGGGCACCTTCCCTTTTTTTTTTTTGAGACAGGGTTTCACTCTTGTTGCCCAGGCTACAGTGCAATGGTGCAATCTCAGCTCAACGCAACCTCTACCTCCCGGGTTCAAGCGATTCTCCTGCCTCAGCCTCCCAAGTAGCTGGGATTAGAGGTGTGTGCCACCACACCCGGCTAATTTTATATTTTTAGTAGAGATGGGGTTTCTCCATGTTGGTCGGACTGGTCTCGAACTCCTGACCTCAGGTGATCCGCCCACCTCGGACTCCCAAAGCGCTGGGATTACAGGTGTGAGCCACCACACCCGGCCCACACCTTCACTTTTACCAAGTTAATTATGTTATATCAGTAACATAATATGATTAACCTAAGCTTTGCCTCTCCTATTTATTTTTTGTTCCTATAACAGATAACATTCCTCTCTGAAGTACAGAAATGCCAATGCCATATATTCTGTCTTTTAACTCAGTGGGATACGATTCAAGTTTCTTGCCCTGAAAAAACAAAGGCAGAATGTTGCTTTGTGACTCAGTTCCTGGGGCCATCACATACCAGGTTCAACAAGTCTGGTTTTGTGACTCATTCTTGGATAGGAGCTACCCCATCAGAAGTGGTTACCCAATTTTGGACAAGACTGCAGAAAAAACGCAATTTTGGTTTATTTAATCTTTTGCTCCCAGTTTATATTTCACATCCTGTTCAGCTTCATTAATATGCCATGGGTCACAAAACTCAGTGCAATAAAATGTGTATGAAAGAAACACCCTTACTTCAGACAAGATGAGACACTTTCAAGTGTAAATATTCTAAACTAATATAAGTCAAAATATGTTTTTTATGCCCAGTGGTTTTTAAAAATTACCCAGTCAACCAGTTCCTCAATAATTCAAATACTCGTGTCCATTTATATTTCTGGAATAAGCGAGAGTGATCGTAGTACTCTTCACAGTGAAATTTTAACTCCAATACACTGTGGAAAAAATTTGAAATCAGTCACTGCAATTAGCTCAAATTTAGTAATAAATCATTTTTCAATGTGAGCTTGTTTGGTTAGTTATTAGAAGAAAATAACAGAAAATAAAGTCTCAGGCGGCATCCATTAAAAAAATCCCTGAATTTATGTAGTTGTTAAAAATCTCAAAGAATTTGTCACTGCTGCTCTTTGAAGACTTTCCAATTCAACATACATTTTATATCTCCTTTTAAGTGTCTCCCACTGCAATGGTCTCACATAATACTTTGGATATCCTTAATTTTAAAGTAAATAAAATTAGTGATGCAATAAGAAGATGAGAGACTAGAACGTGTTGGATGCACTGATGCTGTTGACTTAGATCACTGGATATCAACTTCTGCAAATGGCCAGATTATGGACATAGGGTGAAAGAAGAAAAAAGGATGACTTTTTTTTTTTTTTCATTCACCATTTGTTAAGCAGTGTGCCAGGTGCTGAACCATTCTAGACTCTAGGGAGACTATACTGAGCCAATGAGAAAGACACGATTCCCCTCTCTAAGAGAATCTGTTTCCATTTTCTATTCTTCTGGTCTTGCCGCCATGTAGACAACATGCTTACACCTCTATTTTTTTCATTTGTCAACAAGAAGTCATATTTACAGACTCTTTGCTATGAGACTTGAGGATTTATTTATATATTTATTTACGTGGACACAGGGTCTTGCTCTGTCTCCCAAGCTGGAGTGCAGTGGTGCCATCTTGGCACACTGCAACTTCCGCCTCTCAAGCTCAAACGAGCCTCCCGCCTCAGCCTCCCAAGTAGCTGGGACTACAGGTGCATGCCACTTTCCCCTGCTAATTTTTATATATTTTTGTAGAGCTGGGGTATGGGCATGTTGCTCAGGCTGGTGTCAAGCTCCTGGGCTCAAATAATCCACTGGCTTCAGCCTCCTAAAGTGCTGGGATTATACATGTGAGCCACCGTGCCCAGACAAAGTTGAGGATTTAGCTCAATAATACCACCCTTTTCCTTCCAGAATCGTGGACATTCCCAGGGTCTGACATTTGTATCATTATATTTGTTCTTCTTGTGTTTATATTTGTAATTTAAAGTATTAAGTATCTTTTTTTTTTTTTTTGACTTCATCAGCTTTTGGTACCATCTCTCTTGATTCTCTATTTTGAAAGATAAAGCTATCACCTCCTCTCTTCTCCACCTTCCATATCCACCATTTTTTCATGTAAATGTTTACTTTTTACTTTGTTTTTGTGCAACCAAGTTTCCATGATGCATCTATAGACCGATCGTATCAAGCATTAGAAATATATTCTTTTCAATGAGTCTAACATCATGACTGCTGGGTGGATCAAAGTTTCCAGAATCAAGGTTCAATGGAATTTTTCCTCTCTTTGTTTTTATACCTTAATATTGCTGCATTTTAGTTTGCTTTATATAGGAATTATTGCCTTATAATACATTCGGGTTTTTTTTTTTTTTTTTTTTTTTTTGAGGCAGAGTCTTGCTCTGTCACCCAGGCTGGAGTGCATTGGCGCTATCTCGGCTCGCTGCAACCTCCGCCTCCCGGGTTCACGCCATTCTCCTGCCTCAGCCTCCAGAGTAGCTGGGACTACAGGCTCCCACCACCGCGCCCGGCTAATTTTTTGTATTGTTAGTAGAGACGGGGTTTCACCATGTTAGCCAGGATGGTCTCGATCTCCTGACCTCGTGATTCGCCCGCCTCGGCCTCCCAAAGTGCTGGGATTACAGGCGTGAGCCACCGCGCCTGGCCACATTTGGGGTTTTTTTTGAGAAAGACTCTCTCGCTCTGTTGCCCAGGCTAGAGTGCAATGGCGTGGTCTCGGCTCAACTCCCTGCAACCTTTGCCTCCTGGGTTCATGCGATTCTCCTGCCTCAGCTCCTAAGGAGCTGGGACTACAGGCATGTGCCCCCATGCCTGGCTAATTTTTGTATTTTTAGTAGAGATGGCGTTTCACCATGTTGGCCAAGCTGGTCTCAAACTCCTGACCTCAGGTAATCTGCCTTCCTTGGCCTCCCAAAGTGCTAGGATTACAGGTGTGAGCCACTGCACCCGGCCACATTTGGGTTTATTATACATTCCTCCACCTGATTGTCATGTTATTATTTTAACTGCATTATTTGCCCCTGTGATTAATTATCCCCAAGCCTGCTTTTTCTGTGAAGTCTCTCTTTATTCTTGGAGACCTCAATCCCTGATCCCTCAATCCCATCCTCATCTTTCTGTTCCATCTGTATTGGTTGCCCTCTAAGCCAGCTATGCAGTTACTACATTGCAAAGTTTTCCACCACTATCAGGGGTCTGATTTGGAAGCACTGTTTGCTGGACCCCACAACTTTCTTCTTATTTCACTCTTGTTTTTCTGGAGTGTATCTACAAATACTCTTAAGGAAAAGGATGTATGGAAAATAAACTACCAAAAATCTGTCTGAAAATATTAATGTGCCCTCATATTTGATTGATAACCTGGCTGAGTATGGAAGACTTTAAAAGTTTCTTTTTATCCTTGGAACTCTGACACATCAAAGATGTGTCTAGACGTGGTTCTTTCTGCTAATTTTTCTGGGCACCTAGGAGGCTCTTTTAAATCTGAAAAATTCTGTCCCTCTGCTTTAGGAATTTAGAAAAAGAATAATTTTAACAGTTTAAATTTTTCCCGAAGAGTTTAAATTTAACTGCCTGGGTTGGTCAGATTTTGTTTGTTTGTTTTTAATTGTGGAATTCAATAGCTATGATTTAAAATGGACATTTTTTTCTTCTATGTTTAAAATAGTGTTTCTCAAATTATGAGCCATGAACTTTGGAGTTAAACAGGGCAGGGTTTAGAGAGTAAGAGAAACTAAAACTAAATAGACCAATATCCTCCTTATTTGGTTTCTTCAATTGCTAGTCACTTCTCATTAGGAAATCACAGGGCTACTGTTTAAATAAACCAACTGTCATCCTTCATCTAAACTTCCCTCCCATCATCTCTTTTCCTTCTATCTAAATAAATTCAGTAGATCAAAAGTAAAATTTTAAAAATGATCACTTTAAAAGTGAATCAAAAAAGAAATATATTAATTTAGCTATTTTTTTTTCAAATTATGAAAATGACACCAGTAATTTTCCTTTGATGAGGTTGCAAGACATATAAAAACCTTAGATTCTCTTCCCACATTGGCCAAGAACAATTTTAAGCATTATCAGTTCTAAGTCCTTACAAAAAAGATTTCTCTAACATAAAGAGCTAAATTCTTCCAAATACCAGCCACCCCCGCCCCACTGCAAAAAAAAAAAAAAAAAAAAAAAAAAGAACCCAAAACCAAAACCAAAATCCCCTCAGTCTACAAGTCAATTTAATTGAGCACATATTGTTTGTTCACTAAGCAAATATAATAAAGGCTATAGGAATAGTTAATCAGACTTATTGGCTCAAAAGCTGGGAAAAAAAGAAACCATCAGAATTTGATAAGGTCAGGAGACTCAGTATCCAAGGTTTCTGGGTGGGATACTCACAGGCCTCCACCTGAGAATGTACTTGGAAATGTGAGACGGCTGTGGTGCATTCCACTGGATGGGGTGAGAGTTGGGCTGACTCGGAGTCTCAGTGATAAATACTTGGACAGGACCACTTGAGCCTGGAAATGAAAATGTAACATTTAATTATCTTAGATATTCACTCCAACTTAAAACTGTGTACATGGACAGTCATCATTACAAACAGCTTTGCTTGTCGTTAAATGTGAGTATAGTAAAATTATTTGGGATTAGTTAATCTTTTAAATATTTACGTTGAAAATCAATGCAGCAAATCCATTTTTAGCTGATAATTACTGTTCTTCATATGAGAAATGCAAATCGTAGTTGTTTATAGCAAATAAAATACATTTTTAAAAAAAGTCTCTTGGCTTGCTTTTATTTTCTCTATTATCAAAGTAAGAATTATGAGAAAATTGTGAAACGATCCTATAAAAATAATGTAATACAGAATGCAAACTTCATTTACTTATTGTATTGAGCCTCTTTTAAAGCAAATTCTAATTTTGGAAGGTTTTCATCAAGAATGAATCTACTACCTAAGAAGGAAACAACATTCCAAAGGCCATATGAGATGATGTAAAACAAACACATTTCTAAATGGGGGTAGAATCTTAGACAAATAGGCAAAGGTAATAATTAAAGACCTAGTTTTATTTCTCATCAGTCTAAGCAATCTATCAGTTTGGAAAAAACATCTCATTTTATTTTTATTCAAGAAGTGTATTCCCAAATCACACCATTGATCCATAAAATTATTAAGTGATTAAACTTATTTTTTTCCAAAATCAGTTATCAACAGAAAGGACTTTATGAAGTATATACTAAATTCCGTATTTCTACATCTTGATGTTTATCACTGCTATCAACAAAATTTAAAGTATGGTTTTGGTTCTTTTGTCTAAAAAAAAAAGGAAAATAAGGGAAGTAGCATCAATTTCTAAATAGTGTTAACTCCATTTAAGATAATAATGAAATAGCTAGAAAATTTATGCTTGCAGAACAGAAAACTATCTTTTCTTAAAACACTATCTTTATGATGTCAGTCAATGTTTAAATTACTAGAAATAAAAATCATGTCTTATAATAACCTTTTCAAGAATTTTTAACTGACACTCTGTCAAACAGAGCAAAATTTTGCATGTGTAATAAAGCACTTCACCAGATTATTAACAGATTTAAGTTTTCTGAAAGCTTCTAGGAAAAACTACATTGATTTTCAAGCTTTATTATCTAAGCTGTTAAATTCTCTTTGAAAACAAAGCTTTCTGTAGCAGAAAAAAACATATAACTTGGATATCCATGTAGATTCAGAAATTCTAGAACAATATGCTCACTTCTACACCAGTAACAATTCCGGGTTGGTTGAAGATTAACAAATACTTTGAATCGTAATTCCATTTAATGCACATATTTCCAAGCCACATGAATACCAAAATACCAGAATGCATAAAATTATCAGTTTTTCATTTTAAAGTTGTATGCATTTCACAGAACACATAGGATGTTTGTTTTAATCAATTGGCCTAAGTCAATTCCATGTCCTTGTTTGAATTGCCCCTTCTGTTTATGAAGATCCTTACAAAGGGAAACACATTTTTAAAGACAACTATTCAAGAAAAATTTTGGAGATGTGACTATTTAACGTACTTCCATGTAGATCAGGAAAGCTAGGAATATCATGTCCTTAATTATTTATGATAATTGGCATAGGGTTATTTAAATATTGATCCTTTAAAGAAATCCGTCTACAATTTCCTCTATAAAGAGACATCTGATACACAGTTTATTTAGTTTTGTCAATCACGATTTTGAGGGGGGAAAAGCTTATAATGGTTAAATGTCTACTAAGTTTTAAAAAAGCAACATAAATGACCTTTACTGTTCACCTCTAAGCCTAATCATATTTCTACATCCACAAGGACACAAGGAGGAGGATAAAAACGGGCAGGGAAAGGAAGGAAAAAGGGTACTGCAATGGTTTTTACCCCAACCAAAGTGGAACAAAACTACGGGTCCCTTTTGCTTTCATAAGATTTTAAGCACTGGTCTGAAATTCTACGTTTTAAATTTAGCCTTGTGCCATAGCCCACCTTTAAAGGAAATGGACTGAACAGCAATGGAATTTAGCATGTTTTTGTTCAGGAAGTAAAGAGACTGTGACAGTTATTTCTTAGATCAATTAAATTCCTCCATACTAGCTTATACTACATATAATTACTCTAGCTTATATTATGTACCTTTGAAGACAGAAAAGTTAAAAATTATGACATCTTTTACATTATTAGATTTAAATTTTTGATAATCCTTTTGCTACTGGTAGTTGGTATAACTTTTTAAGTTAACTTAATTGGCATATACTAGCTATTGCCATTGTGAAATCTTTACTCCCTCTCTTATTCAATATGAATAAACTAACAATAAAATGGTTGAGATGATACCAAAAAAGGAGATAGTATAATGTCTACACTTTTAAAATTAGTTTAAAATAAAGTCTAACTGAGTAATTTCCAATAGTAGTGTCCTTGGAGAAGTTAAACATTTATGATTTTTCGACTCAGTCCTTTTTTTCTCTATTTATTTTGCTGAGATCTGTGCTTTTCTAGTTGCTTATTGACAAACCAAATGTCTCTTATCTTTTGCTAGTTTGAACAACTCTACCAAGTTCTCTGTAGGAGGAACAAACAGGGCAGAACTCAGAGACAATCTATTGGTAATCTGTTGTTCCTTTATTCTCACCACACTCTTAAAGCCCTACATGCTAGGCCACTGAGCAAACCAGAGATACAGATAAGCACCAAAGAGCGTATCTGAGGTCAAATGCCAATCTCTTCCCTCCAAAATTGCCTCTGTGCTCAGTGGGCTCTTGCTGTTCTCCTTTTTAAAGAGTAGGAGTAAGGTCAACATGTAAAACTCCAATAACTCAAGGATTCCTTCCTTTACGGATTTTATCTCTAACATGTCCACCTAAATGCTTCCAGCAAGCATATATTAAGTTACAAAACATTAAGTGATTCCTACACCCAAATCCTCCAAGAAATACAACTTAGGAGGTTGATCAATCTGTGCTATAAGCCTTCAAAAGCAAAGTCACCTTCCCCAGCACTGACAGTGTCTGAGGGTAGGGAAAAGCAGAATCTTCCAAGTTCCCAGAAAAGGTGCATCTGGGTGTTTAGTACTTAGGATGGAACTTTAAAGGTAATCAGCTACAATCTCCCCATATTACAGATGAGGAAATGGAGGAGTGAGGCTTGGCTAACACTACCTTTGGCCAAGTTGTTCCCATAGCTTGTTCTCTGTCACAGTGAATCTCTTATTACAGAGTTAATTTAATCTTAATTTCTGTCACATGCAGATTCTGACACCCTGAAACTCTTTTTTATTTCTGAATGTAGGCCATATTTTAAGTCAAACATTAGTGGAGACTTTGGAGATTTTGTACCTCAGCAGTTGCTCAAATAACTGATGTCTTTTAATTAGCCTTTCATGTTTTAGTAACATGTTTTATTGTAATCACTCAGTGAATATTTAAATGCAATTTTTCCCCCAAATGAATTAATTACACCTACAGCTAGGTATGATGTCTTTTTGACCTGGAAAAACTCAGCAATAAACATTTGAGGGTGTTTGAACTGTGTGGGCAGAGAGTTGACCGAGTTACTCAACCCTTGGCCCAACATACTGTGTTCCTGGCTGCAATTGATCAAATAAATGAGAAGTTTGATACAAAGGGAGCTTAGATGACATGTTGAATGAACACGTACCCTAGGTTGCATTTCATGCCATCTCTCTACACAGCTTCTCTGTTAAGAATCATAATATAAAACCCCAAACCTTTACTCCCAGCATAACTCACTTGGTGGTTTTTATTTCCATGTATGGATATAAGATGAAATCAGCCAGAGTGTCTTAACCTAATGGCATATTTTACAGTGTTAAGAAGTAAAATTATAGACAGGCACATCTTCATAGCCTTCTCTACCTTTTACTTGACAGAGGAAGAGAGAAAAGTTATTTTAATGAAAAATTCAATTATTAGATAATAATAGGAGAAAAGGGTGGGAAAGAGGGGAGACCCCCAACTTAGGCATGAGATCATTAATAATCACTGCCCTGTTGTTATAACCCAATTGGCAGTTCTCAACTTGCAGTAATAGAGCTACTTACTTGGATAGGTCTGTAAAGGTTGGCAATGCCACTCCCCAATGCCACGGCCATAGCAGTAGCACTGGTATCTGACACCATGCACATACTTCTCCCATGAATCTCCAATTTGATAAAATGTCCCAGTCTCTGAATCCTGGCATTGGTCTAAAATACACGCAAGGAAAAGATAAACAGCCTTGAAGACTTAAAACTATGAATTTAATTTCAGGGTGCTAGAGCATACATTTAGTTTGAATAGAAATTTGCAACTGTCCTTACACATATATGCAGTCAAAAAAGTATTTTGTTCACATTCTTTACCTTACAGGACAATTTGTAATAATAATAAAAAAAAGTACCTATTAGGAGGAATAGTTTTCTAAAGGGTAATATTTCTAAATAAAAATGTAAAGATTTGGATTTCAGTGTATATTGATAAGCTACATATTAATATTAAATATTAGATATTATTTTACCCATATTAATGTAACTGGCTTAACATTTGAATAGCAAGAAAAAAATCTGCAATAATTTCATTTTCCTTCTTCAAAATTTAAAGAAACTAATTTGACATTTAAATGACAGAGCTAGACTTTAACTATGAGTACTTGCTGAGCAGCTTCTAAGAAAACCTCTCAGGCTTCTCTCTCAGTTCTCGCAATCTCACACTAAACGAACTGATGATATCAGTTTGTTTTCTTAGTTAGCAACCAGTCTCTTTTGGTAAAAAAACTAGTAATGGATTACCTTAAACTTTGTCGTGCTGGTAACACAGCTCTTTTAAGGCTCAACCTTCACTATTTGCTTAGTTCTATTTTGAAGGGCAGCCAAACAAATCCTAGAGTATTTTGGTGGGCGATATTTACTGGTACAACCCTTTGCTCATGCTGTTGCACAGCTGGTAAGGAAGAGAGTTTGAGAGCAGCCTGACCAACATGGAGAAACACCGTCTCTACTAAAAATACAAAATTAGCTGGGCCTGGTGGCGCATGCCTGCAATCCCAGCTACTCGGGAGGCTGAGGCAGGAGAATTGCTTGAATCCAGGAAGCGGAGGTTGCAGTCAGCTGAGACTGCCATTGCACTCCAGCCTGGGCAACAAGAGCGAAACTCTCTCTCTCAAAAAAAAAAAAAAAAAAGGAAACAATACTTTTCATAGCATGAATTATCTTTATGATTCTAAACCAAAGAATAAATTCCATTCAATTAAAATAAGCCTAAATTTGTCATCAAATTCAGCAAAAACCAGATGACTACCAATATCAAGATATTTTGGTTCAGTATTAGAGAGAAGACTTTACAAAGCTCTTTGCAAGCAACTGATTAAAGTCTGGAGCCAACTTCAGTCACGTGATTTCACATAGCTTTTCTCATCTGAAACTTGCTCACCATTCTCCCTGTGCAAACTCATCTAGGGAAATGGGGCTACTCACCGACGGGATCACACTTCCATCTACCCCGACCCTGACCGAAGCATGTACAGTTCAGCATGTGTCCCTCTTCATGACGCTTGTGGAATGTGTCATTCACATTGTAAGTGATGTCATCAACAATGCACTGATCTGTTGAGGAAATAGGTGGGTGAGTGAGAAACTTTTTAAAGTTCCATTGATGAAAGAAAAAAGGTATGCTTCTCAAAGCACACAGCTACTTCTGCTTAATTATCAACACCTTCCACTAAAATAACTTTTCTACAAGCATAGAATAACCTTTTTAATACAATTTTTGCCAAAAAATTTTTTTTTTCTCTCCAAAATCTGTAACTGTTGCAGAGGTTACAGCATGCTCAAATAAAGGATATGGCCGGGCGCGGTGGCTCACGCCTGTAATCCCAGCACTTTGGGAGGCCGAGGTGGGCGGATCATGAGGTCAGGAGATGGAGACCATCCTGGCTAACATGGTGAAACCCTTCTCTACTAAAAATACTAGCCGGGCGTGGTGGCGGGCGCCCGTAGTCCCAGCTACTGCAGAGAATGGCATGAACCTGGGAGACGGAGCTGGGAGTAAGATCACGCCACTGCATTCCAGCCTGGGCGACAGAGCGAGACTCCGTCTCAAAAAAAAAAAAAAGTAGTAAAATACACTTTCCTGTGAAAAGCCAATATTTGAACAAATATACATCTTACTTTCTGAAAGTTTCTTGCTTAGTTGGTAATTTCCTTTAAATATCTGCTTGTTAGGATAAATAAGAAGAAGATTAAACATATTTATCTAATACCCAGCATGATGTAGTGGTCTGGTCTATGGAATAGGGGGAAGGGGTGGAGATATATATATTTGGGAAATAAAATGTCAACAGTATTCATATTGCTAAAATAAATTAGGCCAACTCTGTTGCTCACTCTTTGAGAGATCCTGAGAAAATTACTTTTTCCTTTTTGGGTCTCAGCGTCTTGATCTATAGAGTGAGGTCTGTATGTGTTATTAAGGTCTCTTTCAGCTCTGCAACACCACAGGTAATTATTACTCCTGGATGGTGTTACCCACTGGACACCACAAAAGGAGAACAAATTCAGACCAATATCTACACACTAGCCATACAGATTATTAATAGCTCAGAGTTCTCCCTAACTATTACTTTTCAAATCAAAGAAATGGAAAACTAAAACACTTTAAATAAGTCAATACTTCCTCATATTATACAGCTGGGTGCAAAGGAGAAAAACTAATCTGAACAAGGAAAGTTAGTCCCCTATGTATTTGTTTCCTGAAATTTAGATCTGCAAGGATCTGATTTTAGAATAACAAGGTCTTCATTTCTTTACAGAAATTATCCTATCTTTTCTAGACATGAATCCAGTGGCATAGCCTAAAGCTGAATGGATCAAATGTTTCATTCTTACTTTTGAAGTCATCTTTTTGGCTCAGCCTAAGTACTTACATCCTAGGAATGTTTCAGGACGTTAGCATTGCTATGCCAGCTTGTCTTAGCAGGCTGCCTGAAAGGCTTATCTTACCAAGCATGGTAGACTAATGAATGAAGTGGCATTGAGTATTTCTTCCCCTGCTTGTGGCAAAGTGCAAGTTTTCATTAAAAAAATGTCTCCCTCTCTGTACCTTTTGCCATCTCAAATGTTTTCATTAATCAGCCAGCGTACCTCGAAGCTGCGAGTAGGCAATGCATGTCCATTCCCCACGACCGTTCCCAACACACGTGCACCTCATCATGTGGCCCATGTCATGCTGCTTATCCCACTGATCTCCAATGCGGTACATGACCCCTTCATTGGTTGTGCAGATTTCCTCATGGGCTGTTTGGAAATGGATGAGAAAGGCACTTGATAAATGATCACAAGGTCTAAACAGGTATGTGTGCAATAGGATCCGTTCAGTTTGGTCATCCCAAGAATTCTCACTGGGGAAGAAGCTTTGTGTGCATCCAAGAAATCTAAGTGCTGTCAGGTGAAGGGGTAGAATTTTTGAGCCCTGGAGGCAGAAAACGTAGTCCAAACATGAAGTATGTCATAGAAAATAGTTACAGGAAGGGTTAGGGGATGTTAAACTAAGATAATACCTACACATTCACACAAAGGGTTCATGCTGTTCTAGAAGCCTGGATTTAACTACTGCTTCATAACTTTTCCCAGTTCCAATTTATTCTGGATCAAATAAAAACTATGTGTTTGGATATAGAATTTCAAGCAAAAGTGGTTTTTTGTTCTAAACTCAACATTTTCTTTTGTTGAAATAAAGAAATAAAAGTGTAAGCAGTTTCTTTGTCTCATAGTCACTCTTGACAGTGCCTACTGCACAAGCTCTTGGTTCTACAACTGGAAAATCAAGGGGAATCTATGGGGTTCTTGAAATCTGAAAACAAGTAAAAGATATTGGTTTCCATTTGTTCGCCATCTATACAAACTGGAAACCTTAAAAAAAAAAAAAAAAGGCGAGATTCCCTACCTGTTAGAAAACACTGAGTTTTGGCGGCCGTGGTCAGCTGTAATCCAGCACTTGGGAGGCGAGGGGGATCACGAGGTCAGGATCGGAGACGATCCGGCTAACGGTGAACCCGTCTCTAAAAAATACAAAAAAGCGGGGGGGGGGCGCGTAGCCAGACGGGAGGCAGGAGAATGGAGAAACCGGAGCGGAGCTTGCAGTGAGCTAGATCGCAGGCACTCAGCCTGGGACAGAGCAAATCGTCAAAAAAAAAAAAAAAAAAAAAAAAACACTGAGTTTTAGTCACTTTGGCACTCTTTAATAAGTGCTGGAGCTTATGCCATCAAACCACAACCATGTGTCAATGTTGTAGCTCTGTGACTAAAGCCATCATATATATATTAAATGTTGTGAGCTACTCAGTTGTGTGCTCTTTACAAAGACAAACCTGTGTAAATTCATATTTCCAGACTTAGAAATAAGGAATTATACTTTTGACACTAAATCATGTCAATGAGGTTTAAAAATTATATAAATAATTATCTAATTATTCTTCCCAATCCTTATGTATATGATGTAACATCACACACATACACACACACACACACACACACACTTCACATGAAGTTTTCTGTTGTCTCAAAATTGTCTTAATGAATGAAATAGGAGTAAACTGGACACTAGTCTTTAGTCTCTATTCCCTAAATAGTTGTCAAACAAGACAACCCACAAGGGCTTCATCTTACCAGCCATGGGGCAGAATCCAAACTTCTGGTCGGCATCATAGTTCTGTGTGGTCCCACACCACTTCATGTTGTCCCTTCTGCCCTCAGAAGTGCAATCAGTGTAATTGTGGTTGTTGTATAGGAAGGGGAAGTGGCACAAGGCACCATTGGAATTTCCTCCTCGAGTCTGAACCAAAACTGCCAGGAACAATACACAACAAGGAAGGAAAAGATTACCGCTGAGCTTTCCAATGTACACAGAATTACTGGTCTGAGAGAACCAAGTTTCTGCAGCTAATTCTCAGAGAGTCTATTTCAGAATAAAAAAAAATCTGATAATATAGTTCTAAGCTTCTTATAATGTTTACCTTCACCTTCAAAACAGATTTAAATCCCATTTTCACTGTCATTTCCCCAGCACCCCCCACAAAAGATTAAATGATAGCTTTGAATAAAACATTGTTTTAACTGGAAAATAAGCTAAGGCATTAAAATATTCATCCTGTGTATTCCTCAGCTCTGTGGGATCATCTACTGATTCCAAAATACAAGTATCTTTAATCACATCATAATCCCAATGTGTTAAATCAAATGAACTGGAAGGCTATTCCCTTGGTGTCATTTCCCAACAGTACTGGGGAAGACGGAAGAATCCTCAGCTGTTATGTGAGCTCCATTATCTCTTGAGTCCAAACTTAACAAAAGCGATGCTTCTTGGGCAGCCTCAAAATAAATGGCTAGAATGCTGGCAAATAAAAATAGGGCATGCAAGTGAGTTTTTTTTTTCACTTCTGTGGCTCCCCCTTGGGACACTCACCAGTATGGTCTGTGCAGAAAGAATATTTCTGGTCCTGCTCATAATTCGAAGTTGTGCTGCACCAGAGATGTCCGTCCTGTCGCCCTTCTGTGGTGCAGGAGTAGAACGTCCTGCCATTGTAGGTGAATGGTAAGACACATGGCTCTCCATTTGAGTTGCCACCATAAGTCTGGGTTACAGCTACAATCATAATCAAAGGAGTGTCAGTAAACAGAGATGCTTTATCTCCCACTAGCAGCTGCTTATTTATGGCTTCAATGAGATACTGAGCTTGTGCCCTCAAAGGAAGAAGGTATGAGTACAGATGATCATCGTTAATTTCAGTCTAAATGCATTACTCAGGAATCCACGTCTACTGTGGATAGAATGACACCTGAGTTCTTCTGCTGATATCCTTCATGACCACTTCTGCTGCCATGCCTCAGTTTCTCTATTTGTAAAGCTATATTTATACAGGTCAATTAAGGATGCTGCTTAAGGATGTTGGGATAATATTTATGGCTATATCTATGCCATAAAAATTAATATATAAGGCTATTCTGGGGGAGAATTGTGTACCAATTTTTATTGCCATAGTTACTACCACATTTGTAGCCCAGAATACATATATTAGGTTATTGGAACATGTTTACATCACAAAGTTGCTGAAAATTGAGATTTAGAATATAAAATTTTGATGATCATTCAGAAAGCAGCTCTCTTGTAACAACACTTGAGACAAATAAAGATAATACAATCTTTACCCATGATGCCCATCGCCAGAAAGAAAATACATAAATTAAAAAGGTTGGAAGAAAATGTTTCAAATGCCAACCCTGATTGTTATCACAGGGTGGTAAAGATTACAAGCTTCTCTTGTTTGTTTTATTGTTTCACATTGAATGAATGTATTGTCCTTCAAAAACTAAATAATAAAGCCATCAGTCCTATTCTTCAAAAAGATAATGCATACCTGTCTCTTGGCAGCTGACTCCATTGCCCAGGCACATGCAAAGCATTTGCTTATTTCCTTGTGTCTTCAGCCACTGCATCCCCACAGAGTAGACCACACCACTGTCTGTGACACAGTGGCCATAGGGGGCAGGCTGGGGGTGAGGCTGCGGTTGGTAAACAGCTTCACGAACATCGGTGAAGGGGCCAGATCCTAATGGCATGAGAAGGGAAGGTCATGAAACTGGGTGAGAGAAGACAATTCACTACTTTCTACAGTCAGGATCTTTAGGATCTCACAGAGATCACTCTGAAATCCATGTCGTTACTGGCCTGGGACTGGAAAAAACAAATGTCCCTTATTCAGCAGTTGCTTTTGTATTTAGTCTAGGAAATAATCCACAAGTGTCTACCAAGTGGTCTCCATCCTCCAGCTCAATTGGGGCTACTGGGATTATATTTCTGTTTGTTTGTTTTGTGGGGTTATTTTTGAGATGGAGTCTCACTCTGTTGCCTAGGCTGGAGTGCAGTGGCGTGATCTCGGCTCACTGCAACCTCTGCCTCCTAGGTTTAAGCGATTCTCCTGCCTCAGCCTCCTGAGTAGCTGGAATTACAGGCACATTCCACCATGCCCGGCTGACCTTTTTTTGTATTTTTAGTAGAGATGGGGTTTTGCCATGTTGGCCAGGTTGGTCTCGAACTCCTGACCTCAGGTGATCCACCCGCCTTGGCCTTCCAAAGTGCTGGGATTATAGGCATGAGCCACCACACCTGGCCAGGATTATATTTCTAAATCACAGACATCATCCTGCCACTCCATACAGCAGATACCTTGAACATCTCCTCGCTTTTCTGTGTAACTGAGCTCATTAGAGGGTGCCTTCGGCAGCTGTCCTGGATTCTCTGGAGGTCACCTCCACCTTCCACATTTTATTTCTCCTCAGTATTATTGCGATTCTGTTGTGCTTTTTCTAAAACCAATCGATCCTCTTAAGACAGCTTTCCTTTCAGAACAATACAACAGGATGTGTCGATCTTTTCTTTCAACTTTTAGATATCTGTTCTCTTGGAGGCCAGGGCCCACCGCAGAACAGAATCAGGGTTGATGCTAGACCAAAGGTACACTGAATTCAGTGCCTCCCTAAGTGCTGCTGAACACTAGAACCCAAAGATGTTCACAGGCAAAGAATCCCAAGGTCAAACTACTAGGGAGACATGGCGCCCATCCCCTACACGCCACCATGGAGAGTATGATGTAAAGGAACATACAAATTCTGCAGAGCAGGTTCCATTTTGTTTAACCCAGTGCTTTTCAAACTTTTTTGAACAATGGAGTCTTTTCAGTATTGGCAATATTCATAAATATAGCTAACATTTACTGAGTATTTATCCCCATTTAATTCCCACCTACTCTTTTAATCTATTTTGGTAGATTGACATTTATAACTTTTTTTGGTCGGTAGCAATTTTATTAATGATAATCAAATAACTCAAAGATATCAAATCTAATCTTGTTCACCTTTGTAAGTGCCCAAAGCAAGACAAAAACTCATCAAAAGAAGAAAAATTAGAACAATTAATATTTTTAACTGAAGGATGGCTGAGACACTATATAATGATACTGGCACATCATATAGTAAAAAGTTGATCAAAACGTATTAAAAATAATGAGAGGAGTGCACATTCATGTTGGCCATATTTCTCTCTTCAGATTTTTATGAAACATTTATGATGTAAAAATCTTGTTCTTATGCCAAAAATGATTAAAACTTGTTTTTTTAAAAAGAATGCTTGGATATCATGTCTTTCATGGCCATCTCCAGGTCCTCTCTGAATTTCTAAAATTTCAAATGCCAATACATGAAGAAAATGATTGTGCATTACTTTATAAAATGTAACAAAGTTTGCCAGAGCATAGAAACCACATATGAAGGATGGTTTCCACTACAAAAAGAGCTCAATGTCGGAACAGGGAAGTATATTTCATTCAAAAACAAACAAACAAACAAAAAACAACAGAAAACTCAAATGTACTTTTTTTGTTCTTTCCTAGGGAAGAACCAAGTAGTCATCTAATTAATTATAACTCTCATTTCCTTTCAAATGAACTTTGGATATTCAAAATACGTGTGCGTGCGTGTGTGTGTGTGTGTGTGTGTGTGATCTATCCATGGTAGATTTTATGATGATAGGATTCTTTAAAACTCAGTTTTATCTTTTGGAGATAAATCTGGCTTTTTTCCCCCTAAGATTTATTTGCATCATTTTCATTTATTTCTCAAAAAGTTAAAACCTGACATTAAAAAAAGTTTTAACAACCCATAATGTGTTAAATGATCTTAGGTTATTCACTGAAACCCTGCAAATTTTCATTTATTTCTCAAAAAGTTAAAACCTGACATTAAAAAAAGTTTTAACAACCCATAATGTGTTAAATGATCTTAGGTTATTCACTGAAACCCTGCAAATTATCCCCAAATGGCATGTCAAAGGAAAAACGGATTTGTGGAAATATTTCTTGACCTGCTTCCCTGTTTCCCGCCCCTGCTCGTCCTGTGCCTCACCGCTCGATGTGGTCTGCACAGTGGTGTGCCTCTCACACTTCCACTCTCCTCGGCCGTTGCCTGTGCAGATGCACTGGAGCAGGTTTCCTCGATTATCCTTCTTGCTCCAGGTGTCTCCAATTCTATAGGACGTCCTCGTGTCCTGATCGTTGCATCTATCTGTGTCACAAAGGAAGCACATAAATACATATATCAGGTCAAGAGTGGCAAGTGGTCAGTTCAAACTTAAAAAAGGAATGCTATCTATGCCTGGTAATCTATTTTTGCTAATAGGTTCATATTCAGCTCTAGTGCTGCAAGGTATTACACTTCTGAAAGATGAAATTATATTTGTTACAATGGAAAGGGAGCTGAATGGTTTAGTTTCATCTCTCTGTCACATAACATATTCATTCATTCGTTCGTTCATTCATTCATTCATTCATTGTTTTCACACCGTTCCTTTGGCTAACTTCATTCTCTGGCATTATATTTCATCTTTTTCCTTCTCAGGCTTTTCCAGGACTTTTCCTAGTCATCACTGTCTATGGCCTGCCTTTCTTTTTTTTTTTTTTTTTTTTTGAGACGGAGTCTTGCTCTGTCACCCAGGCTGGGTTGCAGTGGCCGGATCTCAGCTCACTGCAAGCTTCGCCTCCTGGGTTTAGGCCATTCTCCTGCTTCAGCCTCCCGAGTAGCTGGGACTACAGGCGCCCACCACCTCGCCCGGCTAGTTTTTTGTGTTTTTTAAAAGAGACGGCGTTTCACCGTGTTAGCCAGGATGGTCTCGATCTCCTGACCTCGTGATCCGCCTGTCTCGGCCTCCCAAAGTGCTTGGATGGCCTGCCTTTCAATAGGGAACTTGCTTTAGAAAACTATAAACAGGCTGAGTGCCGTGGCTCATGCCTGCAATCCTAGTACTTTAGGAGGGTGGATCATTTGCAGTCAGGAGTTCGAGACCAGCCTGGGCAACATGGTGAAACCCCCGTCTCTACTAAAAATACAAAAAAAATTAGCCGGGTATAGTGGCGGGCCCCTGTAATCCCAACTATGCGGGAAGCTGAGGCAGGAGAATCGCTTGAACCAGGAGGTGGAGGTTGCAATGAGCCGAGATCACGCCACTGCCCTCCAGCCTGGGCGACAGGGCGAGACTCTGTCTCAAAACAAACAAACAAACAAATAAGCAAACAAAAAAAACTTAAAACAATGGGGAGACAAGCAGGTCTTAAAGGGTCTTCACCAATGGATACAAAGAAGCTATAAAAAGATGGTAGTATCTCTTTCTTCATTTGTTATGTAAAAAATTTAGAGGATGCACAATTTCTTTTACTAAAATGTTATTTTCCCCTCCCCTATACTCCAACACCTACAGTATTTAAAAATCACTAGCAAAATAGCCCCAAATTATTCAGTGTTAGCCCTCCAATGGAAGAGTGGGATCAACATAAAATGATAATTTGTAACTAAATGACCATTAGTCTATGTGTTCATTTATCTGGTAAATAGATAATTTAAATTATAATCCAGATTTGCTCTGTACCATGATGTGAGTATAGAGGATCTGATTTCTTTGTGAATCAGATATTGTTGCAACTACTGGGTTAGACACAAAAAATTAACAGTCGATGTAGGTTCAAACAAATACACACTCGCATTCATCTCCCACAAGAACAGAAGTTTGCGTGAAGGTATAATTACTGATTAGAGCTTTTTCCCAACTCCCCCGCTAAAAGTATTATCATCCCCTGAACCTCCATAGTGCTACTTTCAGTAGTTCTGTTGAAACTTTTAATATTGTGTTTTGCAGATGATAAATATGTGTAAGACTTTCTCATCTCCCTGACCCCCTAAGTGCTCTTCGAAGGCTGAGCTAATGTTCAGTTCATATCTGCACCCCTATAATACCTCGAACAAAGTAAGTGCTTATAAAATTTTCTGGAATAAATGACTTCTCTTTCCGAAACTTTTCCCAACTTGCTATTTAAAGAGTTCTAAATAATAGATAAGGTTTGAGTCAGACATCTAATTTGTCTTAAGCTAAAATATTGCCACAAAGATCCTGGAAGTCTGATGATCACAGTAACATTTTAAATGCAAAATAGCTAATAAACCAGCAAGTTTCTGGGAAAGTTTTGGTCAAAATTGTTACCATTTTTCATGAGAGACCTATTTTTTGTTAGCAAAGAATTTGAATTTGGATGATGGCTATGTTAAGATAGTTAAATGTTTTCAGCCAGATAAATAAAATAGGTTCAAATTATTTGGATTTGATTTTAAACTTATTTACAACACCAGCAGTTAATGGCTGTTTTACTTCAACAAACTCTCTAGTTGTTATTAGTGTAAAATATCAAAAAAGGAGCCTTGAAACCCAAAGGCAACAATTAAGACCCCAAGACAATCTTAGAAGGAGCAGTAAAGATGCCAGGGCCCAGTTTCTTTATAGCACTAATAAAATGCGTTGGGTCAGAGATACTATTCTTAACTCCAGAGTAGATCATTTAATGTATGGGATAAATTCTTTTTAATTTTATCAATTTAGCCTATGAATGTGCCTTATTTAAATTTCAAACATAGAAGGAAACCTAAACCTTTTGTTCAACTCTTTGTCAGTGGCAGTGAGCTGAGATTGAACCTTATTGAAGTGGTATGTTTTTCTATTTATGTAGTCTTCTCTGAAGATGCAGAGTAAGTTGGTTATGAAAGTTTTCTTGACATCCAGAAGTTACCAAAGCATGCTGGTATACTGGATAGGTTCTAAGTGACATAGTATTACCCGTCTCTCTAGGAGTCCAGAAAACAATACCTGGACTTTAACATAAGGATGTAAAACATACTTCTAGAGGTGCACGTGATGCGTCCGCTGCCTTCTCCCAGGCAAGTACAATCTACCATCATCCAGCCTTGGTAGGGCTTCTCCCAGGTTTCTCCGACCACATAGGAAGTCCCAGCAGCATGATCAAAACATTTCTCAGCTGTAGGGAAATTTGGAAGAAAAACAGGAAAAAAAAATGGTTATTTTGAATTGTGCAAGCTCCCTGTAATTTAAAGTGTAGTGTGTAAGCAAAAATTCAGCCACATTTTTTTTAAGTGGCACTCTGTTCAGAAAGAATGACACACCCAGCATCTAAGCACACAGTAAGTAGCCAAGGCAAAAGAAAGCTCCAGCTGAGTTGGCAGGCAGAAATTCCATTCTCCTAATAAGTACATGGACTACATATTTTCAGAGAGCCCCAAACTTCCCACCAGCATTTCCAGTAGCAAGGATTTATGTGTATAACTAGTCTGTGGGAGACTAAATATGCAAAATTCCAATTACAAATGACCAATTATGAATTTTGAGTGGCCTAAATACAATGACAAAAAAAAAAAAAAAGCTATTTTAAAATGTTGGAAAGCAAAACAATACAAAACAAGACAAGAATCTCTAAATTAGAAGATAAATAAACAGAGTAAAATTTATAGCCAGAAACTTTCAGGCTTATACTTACAGAATTCAACTGAGGACTGAGACCCAAAGAAGCTCAACAAGTTTTAATTCGAAAAGAAATGACCAGAGTGTGACAAGCACACACTATTTCATGTTTCAGTCCAGGACATTCCATAGAGAAATGTGTCCAAAGTGTCATTTTTTTCTTTTAAATAAATTATATCTTGACCAAAGAGGAATCTGGGATCAGCTATTAGGTAAAAGAAATGACTTCATTCTAAATCTCTATACTTTTGAAGCAAAGTTCAGACTTCTATGTGCAGTCAGTACTTTTTGATCTGATTCCTGTAAGAAGACTATGGATTCTATAATAATTCATTATTTCAAATGAAATTCCCATTGGTTTTCATTGGAATTCAGGTCTATGACCTACGTAGATGTGATTCTGGTCTAACTCCACATTAGAACTAAGCATCCCAGCTCTGGCTCAGCCCTGAGACTCACACACCTATGGGCTTGCAGGTCCATTCTCCTTTTCCATTACCAAGACACACACACTCTAACATGTAACCACCAGTCTCGTGTGGTCTCCTCCAGGTGTCACCAATCTTGTAGGACTGACCCCCTTCATGGCAGCGGTCTGTTGAAGATACAACACAAATGTTAGGAGAAGGCAGAACCAATTTTTCTCTTTTTTTTGGTCTCATGTTCCACCCATGGTAGGTACTTAGGTTGGCTAAAGTAGAGACACAGACAACAGCTTTCCCATCAGAGACAGGGGAAACATTAACAGGTCTGGTCACTTGGAGTCAATTCAATTAAATGTCTTGTTTAGAACACAATGGAAAACTACAGAGAAATCTGGATGGCAAGGAAGAGGTCAAAAATCCTGCTTTCCCAGAGAGATCACAGGAAATTGGGTCCTAAGCAGAAAAGAAAGGCTGGGAGGCTTGGTCTTCACTCACATACAGCAGGCTAAGACTGAGACTAATTCAGTGAAAAGGCCACAGCAGGCATAGCACTCCAGGTTTTAGGAGCATGGAGAGCCTGTATTTTACCCTAGGATAGAAATGTCATTTTGGGGGAAAGCAAACAGACACATACATATAAAGTGTGGAAATCCTGGTAGTTTTCTAAGGTGTTAAATCCAATGGCATATTCAAATGCTGAACTAGACTAAACACTATGGACACTTGCCTCTTGCGATTTGCCTGTAAAGTTGGATAAAGCCTAACATGAAGTATGGGGTAACTTGACTGGGCCTATTCACACGGAACACTTTTGAATAGAAGCCTTTAAGATGACTTATATTTAAAGAATGGATCTAAAAACTTAAATACTATGTTAATAGAATCTATTGGTAACTCAGTGAATCATACTGGAAAGAGTGCCTTAGCTAAACTGGAGTTGATGAGAATCAACCCGGTTCCCAAAGTTCCTTAGCAAACACGATTGGGTTAATAATTTAGTATTATCCCTTGGAATAGGGACATCTGCTTCCTGGGTACAACCTACTCGTCACCAAGAAACCAGACTGTTTCTGTGAGGTGTAAGAGGTCTCTGCATGGCAAACAAGAAGATCACACAACACATGGCTTGTTCACTCTTCATGAACACCTTCCTAGTCACGGCAGAAAAGTCTCATGATTTGTCTAGCTTGAAGATGTCCAGGTGATTTAAAATGGGCAACTCCCCTAAGCATGTCTTATTGAAATGGAACCCAAGAGGTCTCTTGGTTCTACTGTGTACACAAACACACACACTCATAAATGCACACACACTCATAAATGCACACACACTCATAAATGCACACACACTCATAAATGCGCACACACTCATAAATGCACACACACACTCATAAATGCGCACACACTCATAAATGCACACACACACTCATAAATGCACACACACTCATAAATGCACACACACACTCATAAATGCACACACACTCATAAATGCGCACACACTCATAAATGCACACACACACTCATAAATGCACACACACTCATAAATGCACACACACTCATAAATGCACACACACTCATAAATGCACACACACACTCATAAATGCACACACACTCATAAACGCACACACATCAAACACTGACTCCATCTGTGCTCATACCCGTCTTTAAGAAACACAGGAACCAGTTGGGTGACCACTTAAGAGTACCTGGTCACCAGGGCCAAATCCCAAAGTTAGGAATATCCAGTCATGGATAACAGAAAATGACAGTGATGGTAACAGAGACATTCATATTTGGTATTTTGGCGTCATTTTACACAGTGTCTTCCTTACTTGCTATGGTGCAGCTTATTCTCCCTCGCCCAGCCCCGATGCAGGTACAGTCCCAGATCATGGAGTCTTTAGGACGCTCATAAGTGTCACCCACTCGGTAAGTGTTCCCAGTGTACTTGTCAAAGCAAGTCTCTTCAGCTGAGGGGAAAAGGAAAGTCCACGTGAGCCTCACTTAGGTACAAGTTTTTCTAGTTCACTAATCCCCTCTAAAGGAAAACCCACTTTTCTATTCCACAAGTAACATGGTACAACTCAAAGAATAAAATGAAGTGAGAGATACAGATTTTTATCCTAGGCTCTAATAAGGCCATGGTTTCTGACCTTGACAAATTCTCAAATTTTCTGTAAATTATTCATATTGTAAAGAAATCTCAGGCTCTTAGAAAAAGGTCATATGAAGTACTAACTTATGACAGAGCTAGATTTGTGAAGGGTTTCAGATCCCAATCTCTGACTCAGGAAGTCAAACCAAGGTTCACATAAAAAGCAAACAACTGGCTGGGCACAGTGGCTCAAGCCTGTTATCCCAGTACTTTGGGAGGCCAAGGCGGGTAGATCACCTGAGGTCAGGAATTCGAGACCACCCTGACCAACGTGGGGAAACCCTGTCCCTACTAAAAATACGAAAATTAGCTGGGTGTGGTGGTGTGCGCCTGTAATCCCAGCTACTCAGGAGGCTGAGGCAGGAGAATTGCTTGAACCCAGGAGGCAGAGGTTGCAGTGAGCTGAGATCATGCTACTGCACTCCAGCCTGGTGACAGAGCAAGACTCTGTCTCAAAAACAAAACAAAACAAAAACAAAGAAATAATTTGAAGATCCCCACCTCCCACCAGGCCTTAACATTTGTTAATCCTATGATTTCCATTTTCCCCTCATGAGTGCTTCTCTGACAGAGTTGCTATAATTTATAAGAAAAATGTCAATGGTCCCAAAGGAATGAGAACTTTGAAGTGGCTAGTGGTTTTGTGTTAACTGCCGCTGACAAATTATTTTATAATATTGGTCCCCAAAGTGTTTTCTGGCTCATAAACTAACAGTTTAAGATTTGAGACTGCTTTCTAATAAATTAAAATTTTATAAGCAATTTTTTTTTTTGGTCAGAGGACACACAAAATCTTTGATTTTCTCATCAAAAACTGGGAGAGTAAAGCAAAAACAAGACTCTAGGAACTAATTTGGGAAAGATTCGTTTCTTTGTTTTAAAGGTAAAAGCATGTGAAAAGCAAACACAAGCAGTTTTTAAACGTTTATTCAGAGGAAATGACAGGTAATTCTATTAGAAAAATGGTGTATGTAGTTTTACTTACGAATGCAAAGTTTAACAATTACCACTTCATGTATTAAAAGATACTAACTATGGGGTTTGTGGTCACTTACCTTCAGGTTTACTCTCGCAGTTAAAACCTCGGCTTCCTCCATAACAAGTACAAATCAAGGCATTGCCCAGGTAGGTCCGCTCCCACTGTTGATTTATCTGATAGTGTTTTCCATTGTCATAACAACCGGCTGCAAATAATTGAAGGAAAACGTTACTACATTTCCATTCCTCCTTTTCCCAAAATTATGGAATTTTCTTCATGTGAATATTTAGGTATATTTTTTTCCTTTCAACTTTGCTAAAAGTTATATACAATGATGTCATTTGCATCTGGCCAGGGGTCTACATAAAAAAGTTGGAAACATTTTGGAAGGCAGACAATTGAAATCACATTTTTAAAACTTGCAAGGAACTTAACTATTCTTTTGGAGTAATAGTAAAAAAGGACAACTTTAAGCAGGTTTCTCGAAGCAAAAGGAGGGTGTGTCTTTGAAAAATGGAAAGAATTCCAACCTCTGTTCTTGGTGAAGTATCCTGAGCGGCCCTAAAGAGGTTGGAACCAATTACATCTCTTCCAAGTCAGTTACAAACAAGACAGCTATTTCAATACCCCCTTTCCACCCCCATGTTGAAAATATTTGACCAATTATTTAACAGAAGGAAATAAGTAGCAGTAAGGACCACACTAATCCTGGACGGAAAATTTATAGACATGCATCATTTTTCTCTTTAAAAGCAAGTTTTGGTTAATTCCTAGAAGGACAATCTATCTGAACGTGCAGAATTTATTAGAACACGGGTAGGTCGCAGAGTCCCCGTCCTCCAATGCATGATCTTATCATCTCAGGCCCTCAGAAGCAGCCTGCTCAAAACTCGATCCTTTTGTGTGCACAGCTGGTTTCTCTCAGTAAAGCGCGCACACACTCGCACACACGCGCGCGCACAAAACTTCAGCCCCAACTTTGGTCGGCTGTAGAGTCCCATCCCTGAGGCAGCCTGTTTCAGCCCGCGGTCAGTACTCACGCTTGCTTTGACTGACAGCCACCGGAGACTGGGGCTGAATCATTTGCTGAGCCTGCCTCTTGCTCTTCGAGGCTCCCGTGGAGGGCACCGCTGTCCCCAGGCACAGGACGGCCAGCAGCAGCAGCCCGGGCCCCGGACCCCTGAGCATGTTGAGACGGTGGGGAAGAGATGCCCTCACCGGGAAGCAAGTTGCCACCAAGTTTGCTTCCCTTCACAACCTGCGGGAAAAATCCCTTCCAATGCCTCCGGGGGGTTGACGCCTCCAATAAGGTGGGGGCCAGAGGGTGGGAAGGGGACGGGTGGAGGAACAGAGGGGATGCAGAGGACCAGAGAAGTTGTGGCTGCAGGTCCCCTCTCCCCGCTCGCGCCTGGGGTTCCCTCTCCTCCCCCTGTGCAGCACAGCCGGCGCGGGCGTCCGAGCCCCGGGAGCCGGGGCTTATATGGAACAGTCCCCTCCCGCCCCGCTGGAGGCCTGGGGCGCGGGGGAGGAGAGACCCGCTGGGCTGTCCCCGCCCCGCCCGCGGCCGCCGACCGCGCGCCGATTGGCCCGGGCTCCGGGTGACGTCACGGGGGACTGTGGGTTCGCAGCGAACAAAAGAGATGCTGATGGCCCGCCAGGACTGGGGCAAGACAACTTTTTTTTCGGTTTCCTTTGCGGTCATCAAACTTTTTAGGGGATGGGGGCAGGGATGGGAAGCGGCTGGGAGGAAAGGGAGTGGCTGGACTTGTGTGAAGCGAAGGGGTTGCAAGACGCTCCCCCTTCCCTTTTCTTTTTTATTGGGGGTGGTGGTGGTGTTTGAGGACATTGCGTCACCTCTGGTCGGGGTGGGGGGTGGAAATCTCTGCTTATAGGAGTGTATTTTGTGGGGAAGAAACCCCATAAAATATCCACCACCTTGCAGCTGTAAGAATCCAGACTTTTCAGTCCCAGGGCGGGGCTGCCTTTCCCCCCACCCTGCTCGCTTTCTTTGGACTAGAGGGCACTGACTCGGGACTCCCTTATTTTGTCTTCACAGCTCCCTGTTCGGACTTCCCTTCTCAGCTCTGCGCCTGTCTGGCTCTGAGAAAGGGCCAGGGGACGAACGGGGAGCGAAGGGAAACAGAGACCTTGAATGAGCTTCTACTAAGTACCGGGAGTTCCGCGGGGCGCTTTGCAGATCCCGGGGAAGTTCAGAGAATAAAGTTTTCCTTTGCAAGGACAAAGTAACAGTTTGCTTTTTCACAAACTCAGGAAAGCCTTTCTTTCCTGGGGATGGGACACCCGTTTCCACTGAAAGTGAAATCACTGTGAACAACCTGAAAATTGGAAAGTTGGACCAGCTGTGGGGAGCGAAAGGTCTTCGTGTCCTTTCCCACATTCACCGCGCCAGTGACACACAAAGCAGAGAATTTTCTGCCCGAATCATTAAAAGCCGGGTGGGTGGGGGGCACCCTGTGTACTGTCTTGCCCTCCTTCGGTACCTTTCTCGCATTTATTTGCCATTTTCTTTTTGCTGACACGTTCCATTACAGAATGTCCCCTCCATCCCCCGCCGCCAGATTTTTTCTATTTCAATTGTTATTTACTCCAAGAGTGTGGAAAGTGCTTTAAGATTCCCCCGTCTCGAACTCTAAACCCAGAGTGGAAAGGGAGTCTAAAAAGTCTCTCATTTAGCAACTCATCACATCAGTCCTTTTTTTCAGACAAACGCAAGCACAATTGCTTTTAAAGATCTTCAGAAGGAGGAGTCCACCGCTTCCACAGTAGATCCAGAGAGACCCAAACTGAATGCTTTGCCTTCTCCTTGCGTTAGGATTTCAGAGGTTCCATTTACTTTGAGAGGACATGAAGCTACTAATAAAATATATTTATTTCGGCTAGGTACCTGTTTTCTCCAAAAGTTTCACCTTCAGTAATTGCCACAGGAGTAATTAGAACTCTGTGTTCTATAAAATGCCGGACACATTAAAGACACAAAATTAGCATTTGTTTTTATTCATGCAAGGATTTAAAACCAAACCAAAACAAAGCAAAACACCCAGCAAATATCAGGTTCCTACAAATAGTGTAAAAAAACCTCTTGAGGAATCTTGGTGACCCACACTCCAAGTTGAAAGAGTGCCATGGATTTCCCCAAATTTAGAATTCTGTCTGGGTTAAAGTATTTTTTTTTTTTTTTAATTTCTCATCGCTTGACAAAACAGTTTTCTCTTTCAAATATAAAAGAGCTCCTTGTAAAATGCTTGGTAAATTTCTGGGAAGCTGAGTGTTTCTTCCAGAGGGATACCTGGAAATCCGTATGTAAGCAAGATAAACCTGTAGCTAAAGCTTTCTTAAAATCCATTGATTCTGGGGGAAGGAAATAAGTGATTAGAAAAGTGTTTTCTCAACCAAAACCATGATAGTTTGATATATTTACTGTACTGAAAATACACTAGAATAATATGCATAGTGGAGCTTGAAGTGGAAAGCTCACCTTACATTTTGGAAGAAACTTTTGTATTTCAATCCCATAGATATCTAATTTATTTAAGGAAACAGGATATCTCTGTCTCATAAGAAAAAAATAATAACATCTGACTGATTTTTATAGAAATGCTTCGGAGTTTACTCTTTTACTTGAAAGGTTTTTTTTTTTTTTTTTGCCTTTTTTTTTTTCTTTAAACTTTAGAGACAGAGGCTTTTCTTAGTTATGATAACAGGGCTTACTACAGTATTCTTTAATTATCAAGATCCCTTGCAACTCTAAGTCTGTTATCTCTGACTGGAGAGATAATTAAATCCTTAAAGACTATTCTGACTCTAATTCAACCAATGTGTGTGGTGTCCAGGATCTTTGAACTTCCTTAAGAATTCATTTTATCAAGGTGGTTCTTCCTCAGTAAGTTGTATTCTTCTATTGGTAGGAAATGTTCTTGGATTTCTTTCTTTTCTTTCTTTTCTTTCTTTCTTTCTTTCTTTCTTTCTTTTCTTTCTTTCTTTCTTTCTTTCTTTCTCTCTCTCTCTCTCTCTCTCTCTTTCTTTCTTTTTTAAAACTGTACTCAGAGAGGGAAATGTGACAAAAGGGAAATCAATAGAGACAAAGTAGATTCACGGGTACCCAAGTTCATGGGCTGGGAACAGGAATGAACTGTAAAAGGGCACAGGGAATCTAATTGAGGTGATGGAAATCTGTGTTCTAACACTACATTGCAGTGATGACTGTACAGTTTAGTAAAAGTTTCAGAATTCTAGGGATTATACACTTAAAATGAGTGAATTTTACGGTATGTAAATTATGCTTCAATAAAGTTGTTTTTTTCAAAAGTTGATTTTAAAAGTTAGTATTTGCTCTTTTTTACTCCTAACCATCTCCTGATTTTGGTTTCAAGGACTTGCTCTTAAGTAGCAGCAACATACACAAGGCGTCCTCATTTCTTCATATTTCTAAGAGGAAGTTTGCCGTGAATATAGTAGTGGATTTCTTCTACACCAGTAACTCCTTCTGAAACCTGCTATTTGTGTGAGGGCATATATGTGGTAGAAACAGAACAGATCTTCATTTAGGACTGTGCCTTGTTTCTTCTTGGACTTGCCATAGTGATAGAATTTTCCCAGAGCCTCAGACAACTTAAACTTTTTGTAACAAAAAGAAGCACATATATTTTCAGGAAGTTGGGGGGGGGGTGCGGGTGGCGGGGGGCCATGGTATTGGGAAATTTTATTATTCCAGAAAGTTAAGGAGAAGGTTAAGGAGAAGCATGAGCAATTATGGAAATCTTAATTAAATTGATTTCATTTGTTTTGAAGATTAGCGATGGAAACATTTGATTAAGCACACAAAAGAATTGATCACATCCAGTCATTTAAAAGGACTGAACTAAAAACAGGCCAGGTGTGGTGATTCATGTCTGTAATCCCAGCACTTTGGGCGGCCAGTGTGGGAGGGTCACTTAAGCCCAGGAGTTCAAGTCCAGCCTCGGCAATATAGTGAGACAGTCTCAATAATAATAATAATAACCAGATTTGGTGACAGGCACCTCTTGTCCCAGCTACTCAGGAGTCTGACTTGAGTCTTGGGGGATGACTTGAGCCCAGAAGATCGAATGATCAAAGCTGCAGTGAGCCATGATCACACCACTGCACTCCAGACCCAGCCTAGGTGACAGAGCAAGATCCTGTCTCAAAAATTTAACATTTAACATTGAAATGTTAAATGTTAAAGGTTACATTTAAATATGTCACATTTATATGTTACATTTAAAAATGTTACCCTTTAGATGTAACATTTAATTGATGGGCTGTTTTTCCTGAAACCCTTTCGCTTTTCTCCTGTTATTAATCTCTTTCAGTTCTGCTCGAGAGGAGACCACTGACTCTGGAGAGTTCGAACTTTCATTTCATCTTCTTCTATAAGTAGATTAGAGGTAGATAAAAATTAGAGAAAGAGGGAGATTAGAGTAGTTTTTTTTCTTATTTTGAATTTTTTTTTTTTTTTTTGGCATAAAATGCTTCCCTTCTTCCTTGAAAATGGCCGAGTTTACAAAAATGTTACTCATTAACCACAGGTGTGAGAAGTTAAAAATAAACTTCCCTGCGGGCAGCCCTCATGAGTAGAATGTCTGAAAAGTTTGTCAATAATTGACAGGGTGCCTGCAACCAGGGAGAAAATAGTGGATAAGGGCTTTAAATGATGCCATGAAAACTAACCAGTTTTTGCTTAATAGGCATTTTGTTTATAGTTTAAGTGACTTTGTTTTTTAATCAGCACTTTTTAAAAGCCTTAATCTATGCTTTTTCTTCTTAACAGGAATATTCTTTTCTCATTAGAGTGATGTAACTCCCAATGGGCATGGCAAAGGCGTTTAACTTATCCAGTAAAATGGGAACTGACTACTATGTAGCTGGAACATGGAACCAAAACTATCTTGGAGAGCATTTCATCTTTCCAAGCAAGGCAGCAGCTTCTTGGAAAAATTTTAATTTTGTGTGTTATTTCATGTTGCTGGCATTAAAGAGTTTTTGTTGTTGTTGTTGAAAGGCTGAATTAAAAAAAAATTAGAAGATTTGCCATATTTAAATTATTTTCTATTCTTTTTACATTAGCATATTTTAAACATCTCATATGCAGCTAATCACAAAAGTTAGTTGAGTCAAATGCTTAAAAATAACCACAAACATTATCTAATAAATAACAATTTATGCCAACAACAGACTATTGTGATATAAGCAGTCAATATTTATGCCTACCTGTCTAATTAGTGAATTAATTAGCTAAAATAAATTAAGAATATATTGAACCGAATTGTAAAAATGCCAATATACTTGTAATTGTAAATTTATATTGAACCATTTTCTAGATAAATTTGATATATTCTTTCATTAAGTATGACCATTTTACTGAGATAAAATGGACATTTAAAATCATTACTATTTTAAACATTAAAAACTAAGGCACTGCTTACATGCATGCACATTTAAGTAGTCACGAAATCACAAAGATTTCAGCACCTAAATAGAAATAATTAAATAGCTGGATTTTATTAAACACTCTAAACC